CTCTTTCTTTGACTAACTCTTTCCCTCACTAACTCTTTCTTTGACTAACTCTTTCCCTGACGAACTCTTTCTTTGACTAACTCTTTCCCTCACTAACTCTTTCTTTGACTAACTCTTTCCCTGACTAACTGTTTCTTTGACTAACGCTTTCTTTGACTAACTCTTTCTCTGACTAACTGTTTCTTTGACTAACTCTTTCTTTGACTAACTCTTTCCCTGACTAACTGTTTCTTTGACTAACTCTTTCTTTGACTAACTCTTTCTTTGACTAACTGTTTCTTTGACTAACTGTTTCTTTGACTAACTCTTTCCCTGACATTCTAAAAGTCCGTAACACGGAAGTTTCTCCCCCTAAACTTCCTTTGATTACTACGAATATTACTACTGTACTTGGGAACCTTTACATAATAACCTTGGGGACCTTGAGAATATTTACGTGGAAAACTTGGGAACCTTGAGGGAACCTTTACAATACAACCTTGGGAACCTTGACAACCTTTACTTGGGAAACTTGGGAATCTTGAGGGAACCTTTACAATACAACCTTGGAACCCTTGAGAACCTTTACAATGTAACCTTGGGAACCTTGAGGGAACCTTTACAATGCAACCTTGGAAAGCTTGAGGAAACCTTGACAATATAACCTTGGAACCCTTGAGAACCTTTTACAATGTAACCTTGGGAACCTTGAAGGAACCTTTACAATACAACCTTGGGAACCTTGGAAAACTTGGGAACCGTCAGGGAACCTTGAAGAAACCTTGAAGGAACCTTGAGGGTACTTTCCCAAAAACCTTGAGGGAACCTTGACAATCTAACCTTGGGAATCTTTTAGAAACCTTTACAATGTCACCTTGGGAACCTGGACCACGTTTACTTGGGAACCTTTACATAATAATCTTGGGAACCTTGACAACCTTTACTTGGAAAACTTGGGATCCTTGCAGGGAACCCTGAAGGAACCTTGAGGGAACCTTTTGGGAACCTTTTGGGAACCGTGAGGGAACCTTGAGGAACCTTGGGAACCTTGGAACCTTGAGCGAACCTTGGGAACCTTGGGAACCTTGAGCGAACCTTGGGAACCTTGGGAACCTTTACTTGGGAACCTGGGAACCTTTACTTGGGAACCTTTACTTGGGAACCTGGGAACCTTTACTTGGGAACCTTTACTTGGGAACCTTTACTTGGAACCTGGGAACCTTGGGGGAATGGGTTTTGGAGCTGCTCCGGTCTGCTCCGAAACCTTTACTATGGCTGAAGACCCCAAAGCATTCTGCTGTTGGGGAATAATTGTATATATGTATTTTTTTGAATATATATAGTATAAATAAAAATTCATATATATATATATATATCTCAAATTTGCAAATACATAGATACATATAATATACAATAAATAGTATAATATATGAAACCGTTTGCACATAATGCAAAATATAAGGTATATATCATTTCGTATATGGTGTTTACTCTTTAACATATAATGGGCTATATATATATATTAATTGATACTATGTTATATTGTATTTTATTATATTTCTATATTGTATAATTATATGATCTATTTTAATATATTATATTATATTTTATGATATCTTTTTACATCATATTATATAATATTATAATATATTATATTATATTATATGATATCTTTTTACATCATATTATATTATATTATATTATATTGTATTATATTATATTATATTATATGATATTTTGTTATATTGTATAATAATTATTATTATATAAAATTATATTCTATTATTTTATATCATATTATATCATATTATATCATATTATATCATATTATATCATTTATATTGTGTTATAATATATTAAATAATCTATTATATTATCCATATTATATTATATTGTATTGTATTGTATTGTATTAAATTATGATTTATTACATTCATATTTACTACATTAAATTATATTATGGAATATTATTTTATATTATGTTTTATTGTATTATAACATACTATATTGTATTATATTATAGATTATAAGAGGGGAACGCCCCCCAACCCGTGCAATATCCATGCGGGGCTCAGGTTTCTCAGAAATCACCTTTCTGTGTGCTTTTACATATATATATATATACACATATATATATATATATACATATATATATATGTATATGCAGACGCTATTCTTTTGATGCATCCCTGGCATCCTGGCTGCGGCTGCCGCTGAAGCTGAGGCTGAGGCCCTTGAGGTGATCAGCGTAGATGGCACCGAACCTTGGAAGTCCCAGAGGAGGGAGGAGAGGAGGGAGAAGAGGAGGGAGGCGAGGACCACCACAACAACTTCAACTCCGATTTGGAACAGTGGTGCTGGCATTGCCTGGAGCATAGCCAGCACAGCCAGCATAGCCAGCATAGCTGAGGAACCCCATGATTTGCATGCAACGTGCCACTTAGGTCGGCATCAAGCTGAATGGCAAGGGCGATTTCGCAGCTTTTTGGGCTGGGCTGGCCACAGATATTGCCCTTCTGGTAGGTCAGGATCTTGAATTTCTTTGGACAAGTCTGGAGTCAAAGTTGTGCTGGTTGAATTTCCAGCAGACTTGTCTTCATCCGTTTGGTTGGTTTGGTTGCAGGTTGCTACATTGCTTTCTTGATCCTCCGGAAAATATATCCTATGATGTATCAGGCAAACCAGGTGCCGGGTGCTGCTCAGTGCACTCCTGTTCTGTCTATTTTGGCTCTTCGAATTCCGCCAGGGCTGCTATTATCATTATTATCGCCATTGTTAACATTTAAGTTCTGCCTTTCTGCCGCTGCTGATCGTCATGCTACGTCATGATCATGATGAGTCTGTTGCTGATGCTGCTGTCCTTAGACGAAGGAACTGTTTTGACCATTTTTGACCAAATATCATTTCGATCACTTTGCGACATGAGCAGCTGCAGGAGAGTTTTGACAAACTGAAGGAGGGTCGGCTCAAGCTGACAGAGAGCATCTTTGCTCCAGCTCGACCCACAGAGACAAGTCGAGCCAGGATTTCTTGTCATGTTTTGATTGCATACATACTGCTCATCTCAGGCCAGGCATTCTTTTTATTAACAAGTAATCATAGTTGTGAAAACCGATGTCAATTCATGTCTGCACAGCATACATCCAGCACAGACCCGGATGTGACTCTGACCGCCACTATGGTGGCTCAAGCCGCGCATAGCGCAAAACAAGTGTCTCTGCGCCAGTAGCTTTTGCACTGGCAGCGGAGCTGTCATAGCTCCTGGGCCCTGACGGGCTGCCCAGTGCGCAACCTGCGCGCTCCGTGACGCGTCGGCCATGTCGGCGCTGCTAGATGCTCTGCGATGGCCCAACTTCATTGCCGAAGATGAGTCAGCGCAGATGGGAACAGAAGGAAAAGCGGGGATTCCACGCTTCAATGGTGAGCCAACACGATTGGCTGAGTATGTGTTCAGGGTGAAGGCCAAGCAGCTCAAGGAGAAAGCCCTGTCCGAAGATGAGCAGAAGAAGCTTGGTCCTCTCGCCTTGAGGCTTGTTGAGGGCCTCAGTGGCACAGCCTTACGTGTGGCTCAAACAATAGACTTCAATGAACTTAGCAAGCCAGAAGCTGGAGTGGAAAAGCTTCTGGGAGCCTTTGAGAAGGAATTGAAGCCTCGCCGTGCACAGCAAGCTCGAGAGCTTTATGCTGCTGGCTCGGCACCTCATGGCATTTTGTCCAGGCAGAATGGAGAGACGATGGCCTCCTACATTCTCAGGCGACGCACTTGGTATCGATGCCTGGTGGACACGTCTGAGGACATGAAGCTGCCTGACATTGTGCTGGCGGAACAACTGCTGTCTTCAGCCAACATTTCGGCTGACCATCAACTACTTGTCAGAACGGCTCTGCAAGGGGACATCACTTTCAACCGTGTTGCCGATGAACTGGTGGCTCAACACTCCAGGGTGCACGAGCGCGAGAAGACGCGCAACTTTGTCTCCAAGAAGCCCTACTATGGCTATCAGCAGAACCGCAAGGGATCTGGCAAGTGGCATGGTGCTTTCTATGCTGACGAGACTGCAGAGTACGACCAGGCCTACTCTGAAGACTTCTCTGAAGAGACCTATGAGCCTGAAGAGCCCTATGTGTCTGAAGAGATCGACCCCATTGAGGAGCACATCGGATTCATGGTGGATGATGGAGTGGATTTTGATGATCCTGAAAGTGCTGAAGCCGCTGCTGAGGTGCTTCAAGCTGAGCAAGAAGCCTACTTCGTGAAGAAGGGTGCTGCGCAGAAGGGCAAGGGATTCCGTGTTCCACCTTCTGGCCCCAAGCACTTCTCGGTTTCTGGAAGTCTTAGCTTGGAAGAGCGCAAGGCCAAGATCGCCTCCTTGAAGTCACGAACTACATGCAGAAAATGTGGAGCTGTCGGACACTGGAGTGGTGACAGCCAATGCCCTGGCTCCAAAGGAGGTGGTCGCAAAGGGAAGTATCGACCTGGCTCAACAAGCACTTCGTCACAGGCGAGCACTACGGCATCAAAGGGATCACCAGCAAAGTCACGCACAGTGTACTTTGCTGTGCATGAGCCCTCCTCTGCTGGTGGATCACATGGCTACATGGCGCTACGTGGTGAAGGTTTTCATGCTGTACCTCCACCTTCGTCTTTGACTGGCCAACATGAACAAGCTCCACATGGCTCTCCTCATGAACTTGCTCTACATGGCTCTCCTCATGAACATGCTCCACATGGATCTCCTCATGAACATGCTCTACATGGTCCTCCTCCTCATGAACATGCTCTACATGGACCTCTTCATGAACATGTTCCTCATGATGCTTTGGTACCAGCACATGACGCACTGGTGCCAGCTGAGAATCGACCACAATGGGTTGACCTACCTCATGGAGAAGTTGGACGTGGAGAAATGCGTGGCCGAGTACATGAGATGCCATCTATGTTTCCACAAAAGCCACTGACCAATGACGAGAAGGAAGAGATGATGTTGCAGCAAGCTCTTGGACGTTTGTCTCAGCCAAGTCTCCCTATGGATGTTGATGGACCTGGGATGATCGAAGATCTACGCGGAGCTCTACCTGCAGGAGTTCCACCACTACCTGTACGAGCCCAACAAGCTGAGCATGCAATGCGTCCTGAGCAGGCGCCTTCTTCCTCTACGCCTCGACAAGTTCCTGCTGCAGGTTCTGATGGACGAGATGCAGAAGGACCGTTCAGTCCTCAGCCAGCAAACTATCAACAAACAGTTTGCCAGCATGAACGCGTGACAGCAAGGGGAACCAACAAGTTTTACAGAATCTTGCGATGTTTGGACTGCCAGCTTCTGTTGGAGCGAGAGCGCATTCCTCAAGTCAGCCTACCCAAGGGGCAGCCTGCCTCTAGGGGTCCTACAACAGCTGTGGAAGAACGCCAAGCACCTGGATGTTACCATCACCGTGTGTCATGGCGTGGAACAAATGGGCACACATGGCAAAAGACATGCCTTGATTGTGGCTTCAAGCAATCTGGACCTGTGAGCCCAGATGCACAAACAAGCCCTGTGGACTCCTTTCAGACGCCACAGTCAAGGACCTCAAACCTGGCTGATTTTCTTGGAGGTGAACTCACTGCTGAAGAAGCCGCTGGTGCAGTGCGATCCTTCGAGAACGCTGTTGAGATGAAGCTGATGCAACTTGGACCTGGAGACACCATCAACTCCAGGACACTGATCGAAGCCTTGGCCCTTTCTTTGAGGTTAGCTGAGGTTTGGCATGGTGAACCGCCCTCACAAGGTTCAGATGCATCACAACCACCATCTTCAGTGCTAACTCCAATCTATGCACCTGCACGAGCTGACCCTGTCACACACCAAGGCACTCGACGTGTGCTGCGGGAACGTGCGGTTTTGCACGTTGGCGCTGGGAAGTACAAGAACAACCCATGCTACCAAGCCTATGAGGATGGCAACTACCGCAAGTGGGTGCTGGAGACGATTGACGACAAGTCGTCAAGAGAGATGCGATCCTTGAAGAACCTCTTCCTGGAGATCAGCGAGCACGAAGGCATCCATGGCAAGATCTTCACGGTTGGTGAGCGCTCCATGTACCACGCAACAACTCCCTCTTCTACGACCTCTACAAGGACTGGCTACATGGCAACCTCTGAGCACGTTTCTGATGGCTCCGAGGGCGACCTCATTGCCGTATTGGACACTGGGTGCAACACGACTTGTCATGGTGCACATTGGCTGAAGCGCTACCTGAAGGCCACCAACCAAGATGAACCTCAACTTCTACCTGATGGCGCTGGTGGTTTTCGTGGCATTGGTGGCATCACTGCCACTGCTGGCTCACGAGTTCTGGATCTATGCCTGGAGCTCACTGACGGCACCTTGGCCAAGGGCACTCTCCACAGCGTCGAACTTGAAGGTTCTGACGCCCCTCTTTTGCTCTCACTTGAGGCTCAGCGTCGACTTGGACTTGTGCTGGACCTCAACCGTGCCATGGCTCACAGCGAGGCACTTGGTGGAGATTTGCAACTGGTATCCCACAATGGACTTTATGGACTTCGCCTCCTCCCTGGTGGGTTTGCTGGACTTGGACTTTGCAACCCATCAGCAGACCGTCCTCTGGATTTTCAGGACGAGGCGGCAGATGATCACCCCACAGGTGCAGATCCCACGATGGCGGATGATCACACCTCGTGTGCAGATCCTGCCGATGTGGACGATCACGCTTGTGGCGCAGACCCTGCTGCTGAGGAAAATGTTTTGGGATACCTGGCCTATGATGAACTCAAGGTGCATGCCATGTCCAAAGGGCAAGCCAGCAAGATCAAGGCCAATGTGGATGCGGTGACAAAGAAAGACAAGCTGATGTGGAATCAAGTTTGCCCCAAGTACCTGCGTAGGCGTCCTTGCCTTCCACATGGCTGCAAGACCTTCCTCATGGAGATTTTTGCAGGATGTGCGATGCTGACCAGCGTTGCGCACTATTCCTATGGGTACCCAACCAGCGAGCCCATCGACGTGATCTATGACCCAATCTTTGACCTCACAACTCCTGCTGGACGTGCTGCGGCTGATGAGCGCATTGCACGAGATGATCCATATCTTCTGACCTTTGCGCCAGTTTGTGGCCCCTGGTCCCCATGGCAGAACATGAACATGACCAGGTCAGAAGATACCCGACTCAAGATCATGGAAGACCGCAGGAAATGGATCCCTGTCATCAAGTGGATGTGTGGTCATGCACGATCACGACTTCAAAGAGGGCGACAAGTTTTCATTGAGAATCCAGCTCCTTCAGCGATTTGGGACACCAATGACATGGACAAGCTCTTGAATCAGGAAGAGCACTACGACCAGATCACTGGAGAAGCCCTTGAGAAGATCAATGTGGATCTTTGTGCCTTCAACCTCCGCGACAAGACCTCTGGCCTCTTGCACAAGAAGCGCACTGGCCTGGTGACCGCTTCTTCAACCTTCAAGAGTTTTGCAAAAGAGGCTGGCCAATGCAGCAAAGACCATCTTCACGAGCCTTTGGAAGGTGGGAAGAGATGCAAGCATGCACAAGCATGGACTGAGGAGTTTTGCACTCATATTATTGAATGTCACTTGAACGATCTCGACAATCACCTGACGAGATCTGCTTTTCCTGCTGAGGCTGTGGAGGAAGACATTCTTGTGAATGACGACGCTCCAACGCCCTTCCCCACTCTTGACCTCATCGAGACTCCTGAAGATATGGCCATTGGACTTCTACCGCGAGAAGAATCGCCTGAACAGCTTGAGATTCTAAACCCTCAAACAGAAGCTCTTGAAAGCCAACAACTACAAGAAAGCCGATCTGTTTGGCGACAGCTGCCTATGTCCACCCGTGTGGCTGTGAGAAGGTTGCACACCATGACTGGGCATTCTTCAGTGTCCTCCATGCAGCGGATCTTGCGAACGTCTGGTGGAGACCCAAAGGTCATCAAGGCCTTGAAGCACTTTCGTTGCCCAGCATGTGAAGAACGCAAAAAGCCTGCTCCGCGACCAGCTACACGTCCACCGAGCGACTACCGCTTCAATGTGGAGATTGCGGTAGGCTGCTTTGAGATCAGAGACGTGGATGGCAACCGCTTCACCATCCTTTCAATAGTTGACATGGGGACTCTTTACCATGTTGCTGAGATTGTCTCTGACAAGGGTGGCGCTCCTTCATCAAGAGCATGTGCCGATGCTTTTCGGCGAGTTTGGCTGAACTGTGCTGGTCCTCCAAAGTCAATCATAGTTGACCGTGGATTGCACAACCGTGGCCGCTTCTCCGAGCTGCTGACCTACCACGGTGTGCAGATGCGTTTCATTGGCGTTGAAGCTCATCACCAACTTGGGCGAGGTGAGCGACAAGGAGGCATCCTCAAACATCTTTTACAACATGTTGTGGAAGCAAGACAACTGACTGGACTACGAGCTTTTGAGCTTTTGCTTCCTGAGGCTGTCTTCATCAAGAACAACCGCATTCACCATGGTGGCTTCACACCGAGCCAATGGACTCTGGGCAAGCTTCCTCTTGAAGTTGACTCCCTGACCTCAGAGGACTCACAACGTCTCCTGGGCACACACCAAGAAGTGCTCGATGGCGAGACTGCCTTTGCCAGACAGATGCAACTGCGACAAGCTGCAAAAGAAGCCTTTTCTTTTGTTGATGCCTCTCAGAGATTGCGAGCCTCTATGTTGCGGAAGACCACACCAACACGTGGACCCTTCCTGGCTGGTGATTTGGTTTGTTTTTACCGCAAGGGCAGATCAAGTCATGGACGCTGGTATGGTCCTGCAAGAGTTCTTGGACAAGAAGGACGCTCAACACTTTGGATCATTCATGGCGGTGTTCCAATGACTGTTGGCATTGAATCTCTCAGGCATGCCACAGGCAACGAAGTTTTGGCCAAGCATGCGCTGGAGCTGCGCCCATCGCGCAAACGTCGGCGTGAAGTCCTGGACCCTGATGAAGATGAGATGGACTACCCCTTTGCCGATGACTTGATTGGCGCTCCTGGAATCGACAATGCGGAAGATGTCGAACAGATTCCCTTCTTTGACTTGGGAACCCATGCGCCTGAAGAATCAGCAGCACCACCTGCTGAACCTGAGACTCCTGTCCTACCACAAGAGCCCGCACAGTCTGCTCTCATGGATGGACGTGACCTACATGTGGATGTTCCAATCCCTGAGGAATTGGACAATGACCATGATGCCATGGACGGCATCCCTGTGCCACCTGGCTTGATACTTGGATCAGACCAAGCGACTGAGATTTTCAGTTCCACGGACGAGCCAGAGTTGGAAGTTGTCCCACCGACACGTGTGGACACACCGCTGGGAAACCCAGCATCTACACCTTTGAATCAAGCCCTGTATCGCTCCCTTGATGCAGTGGATGGCATTCCTCTACGAGCACCACGACGTGAACGATCACGATCACCACCACCTCGTGATCCCAGATATGAACCTGCTGCTCCATCTGATGGACCAGAAGCACGAGCCTTTGTTGGTTTTCTAGCACGCAGAACAACCAAGAAGTCTGCGACAGCTCGTGCCAAGGAGCTCAACTACAACAAATCAGATGATGCACGACAAGCCAAGATGTTAGAAGCCAGAAGCCGTGAATGGGCAAACTGGAACAACTTCAAGGCCGTGACAGTTTTGTCACCCACTGAGGCTGCCAAGTACCTCATGACCCATCCTGATGCTGAAGTCATCCCTACACGTTGGGTCGACACCCTGAAGTCCCAACCTTGGGAACCTGACCGCCACAAGGCTCGACTTGTGGTGAGAGGAGATTTGGAAGCTGAAGGAAATGCAAGGACTGACAGTCCGACATGCAGTCAACCCATGTTCTCCCTGGTGCTGAGCGTTTCTGCTTCGAAGCGATGGCGTTTGCGGGGAGGCGACATCACAGCTGCCTTCCTCCAGGGCGAGAACATCACGAGGACCTATCACCTCCAAAGATGGAATTGAAGGCGTTGAAGAGGGCAGTTTGATGATTGCCCACAAACCAGTTTATGGCACCCGAGATGCTCCAAGAGGTTTTTGGAAGAAGCTTCACAAGACTGCTTGCGAAGAAGGGCTGAATGCTGTTCCTCATGAAGAAGCAGCCTACGTGCTTCGCAACTCCTCCGGAGGTATTTCCGGAATCATGGTTGCTCATGTGGATGATTTGCTATGGTGTGGAGACGACTCCATGCAACAGGTGATGAAGAACATGCAAGACAAGCTGCGTTTTGGGAGCTTGGATGACGGTGATGATTTCACCTGGTGCGGCCGTCTGATCGCTCAACGCGACGACGGGATCGCAGTCACTTGCCCCAACACTGCAGCGAAGCTCCGACCGATTCCTTTGACTATGTCTCGGAAGAAACACCGAGATGCTCCAGCGACTGATGCAGAGATCAACCAACTGAGAAGCATTCTGGGAAGCTTGAATTGGGTAGCACGAGTTTGCAGGCCTGACATCGCCTATCAACTCTCTGCCCTTCAGACAGTTCAGAAGAAGGCGATGGTGCAGGACCTCATAGACTGCAACAGCCTGATGTGACATGTTCAGGCCACGCCTGAAATTGGACTGTTCTACAAGTACGACGCTTTTGACTTTGACCACGCGGTGATTTTGAGCATCTCCGATGCCTCTCATGCAGCTGATGCGGAAGAATCGAAGTCTGGTAAGACCCTTGGACATCGATCACAGTCTGGCCGCCTGATTTGCTTGGCTGGACCTGGCTTTGTGAAGAATGGATCTGGCGTGGTGCACCCCATTGAGTACCACTCCAATGTGATCCGGCGTGTTTGCCGAAGCACCTTGCAGTCAGAGACGCTCTCGATGGTTCAGTGCTACGAAGAAGCTGAACACCTGAGGAGCGTGCTGCACGGTCTACGACATGACCACCAAGGGCACGACTGGAAGATTCCAGCCATGGACTCCATCAACCTCTACGAGTTCACTGACTGTAGAAGCTGGGAAGCCCATTTGCACCAAGCTGGAACAGGAACCACAGGTGACAAGAGGTTGGCCATTGACCTTAGCTACCTGCGCCAAGTTCTATGGCGCCAACCTGGTGAAGAGAATGGCGACCCACTCTATGGAGACCATGTACCAAAAGATGCCTCCACCCGAGCCATGTGGGTGGAAACCAAAACAATGGTAGCCGACTGCCTTACCAAGAAGATGAGATGCGACCAAATGGAAGCCCTGCAACAGAAAGGCACTTTGGCCTTCGACATGGACAAAGAAACAAGCAAGAAAGCGATTGCAAGGGCAAGAAACAAAGACCCAAAAGGCAGCGAGACATCCTTGGTCTGTAAAAAGACCATGGGTGTGAAAACCGATGTCAATTCATGTCTGCACAGCATACATCCAGCACAGACCCGGATGTGACTCTGACCGCCACTATGGTGGCTCAAGCCGCGCATAGCGCAAAACAAGTGTCTCTGCGCCAGTAGCTTTTGCAATAGTAATCAAGACCAGCCATCAGGATCATCAGGGGCCATCAGCATTGATCAGCTACCGATAAAGTGATCTCTTGCTGAATGGCGTCCTGGAGCGACTGAGGTCATGGCCAGCTTCAGAATCAGCGTCGACGATGTGATCGAACTCGCAGGGCTTGACCATGGCTACTTGACCTGACCGGGTTCGAACGCGGTAGGGCCGGTAGGGGTGTATCTCTGCAAAGATCCAGAATGTCGTCTTGGAAGATCTTGGAAGGTCTTGGATGTTGCAGTCTGAGGTATGCTCATTCAGTTTTCCATTTTTGCGAGAACCTTAGTTGGCTGATGTGCACTGATTTGCATGCTGAAGTTGAGCCCTATGCTGAAGATTTCATTGGTACCATGTTAGCAGACACGCACACCTGAGTCCTGCTTGGGAGTGCACTTGGGGTTATTAGTGGGCATAATTGTGGCAATAACCTCCATAAGCTGGGACAGAACCCCGATGACTATGCTTATATAACCCACTTATTAATAGAACTGCACCCCCAAGTGGGGAGTCAGGTGGCACGCATGGCCCATGGTCTTGTTTTGACAGTTCTTTTCATCACCAGCTGCGGGCTCTTTACGCCTCTAATTGGTAGCTGCTTGCCCATCTGCCAGATTGCTTGTTTGATAGTGTACTGCTTTGCTCTATATTTTGTTGTTTTGACTTTGGATCTGTCAAATATACCCTCAGCAATCTCACTAGGCAGCCAAAACAGTCAAGGTATACGTTCAGGGTGTGGGTTTGCCTCTGATTGCAATGACATCTTGTCACTTATGACCTGGGAGCTATGTTTGAATCGGAAGTCTGTACATAGCTGGATGAGATCGGAGGAAGGAGTTGGACGGCTCTAGAGTCTTAAAGCCCTATCCAACGCTGAGGTCATGAATCAGATGCTGCTTATTGGCATTCCCGCACTGCTTGTGCTGAGCGTGGGCACCAAGTTTCGAATTTCCCTTATGCTGAAGCTGCTTAGATCATGTCTTGTACGCCGGGAATCTCGATGCCAAACGCACAATGGATTTGATCCTGCTTCTTTGTCGAGGTCCTTTGTATGCCTTCAGTGGTGGACATGCTGCAAATAGCCGCCTGAGTTCTATTGGCTTCGCAAATGTCAAAGAGCACCTTCGGCTTGCAAGCAGCGACCAACATTCAAGATTTAGACTTTGTTTTGATAGATTCATCAAGATATGTAATCAGTATCATTGATCTCAATACTTTGGGACTTGACAGGTGCTCCTGTGTCCAGTTTTGTGGAAGAGTTGGCCTGTTCCAGCTGTGAATGCCATTTTCTCAACACCTTCAACTCTTGAGGAGAAGTCTAATTTGTTATCCAGTGGCTGGCTTTGTGTGGTACGTGGTCCTTGTGACGCAGATCCATGTCTCCAGGGTCCAGGCAAGGGCATGGTTTACATTTAGATGGCATTTTTTTGGCGTGCATTGCCGCCACATTTTGCACTGTGCACATATCATATGTGTGGACAATATGCGGCCGGGGATTCTAATCTCCTTTCCAAGTGTTGGACATGCTTCGAGAGTAAGCTAGGAGGCAGCTGGCTTGGTAGAAACAGGTCCTAAAGGCCTGTTCATTCGGGATCGTCTGAAATTGGGGGATTAACCCCCTTTTTTTGCTATTTATAGAGTGATGATTAAGCAGTGGATTTAGGGCTCCCCTATTTTCAGACAAGCCCTGTCCATTCTGGTTCAGGGAAGTCTTGCTAATGCCTGCGCAATGCAAAACGACAGGAGAAGGAATTTATGCAGAGACGCAAAGCATGGCTGATGCGGATGCCTATGCCAAGATCACATACTGTACTCGTTGAGAGTATCCCTTTTGAGTGCCTGGACTCATAAGTAAACGCTGAAAAGCATGTGACGACGTTGGACTTTGCGACTTTCGGAAAGGGGTATTGTCGACTGTGTCGCAAAGCTTGGAACCTGCTTAGACAAAAGGATCGACATGCTGGCACATATTATATATATACCTGTATGCAAAATATCAACACCTTCAGACCGTCCATAGTTTTGTGCAGTTTTTGTTTGTTGGCCATGATCCACTTGCCCGCTGTTCATGAAACGTTGACGAGTAGTGGAGCCAAGATGAGCCAAGGTACCGAAGTGTATCGCTTTTGACCAGTTTTTTCGAGGAAATCTTTGGTGCAGGATGCCTGAAAGACGTGAGCTTCATACGGCAATGTGGAATGCTCCAGTCATGCATCTGGGCACACTTGCAGGGAGATCCAGACAGAAAGTTAGGGAAGGGAAGACCAGGAGCGTTTGGTACAAGCCATTTTGTGCAATCCATTTCAGTTTGCAAATCAGCCTGTTGCGGGATAAGCCGACCTTACACACATACACAAACCTTAGATATCCTTGGATTCTGCTCCGCAGTAACAGTCAGCTCCTGAACTGATGGATATCTGAGGCATTAGAACCCGAGACAATTGCAGTCAAGACCTGCACGAAGCAGAGTTTCAATGGGACAAATCAGGCCAGAGTTCTTGAGAAAAAAATGGAACACATCCAAGTAGTGATGAGCCTGATATGCAGAGACATGCAGAGACGTTTTCCATCGTTTTCCAATAGATGTGTCTGACACATGGATAAAAATTGGGCATTCCCCCCACAAGGAAATTCTCATAATAATGATCTCGGAACATGATCATTAACCAGTGGATTTGATGTATCCCATTTTTGGATGTTCACCCATTCTGGGGCAATACCTCTACGACCTGCAAGACCTTGCTTTAAAATCATCTACTAATTGGTGAAGTTTGTGGAGTTCATCCATTCTACCCATTGCCAGGTGGGTTTGCCCAAAAAGTGCAGTATCCCTACCCACACACCATTCCAAAACACCCTGGCAACAAGCATGGATGTCCACATCTCATGATGTATAAACAAAAGAGCGGTTTGTATGGTTTAGGCTGAAGTTTTAGGGTGCTAGGATATGAGTTTTTAGGGTCTTGGAGTTTAGGGCATTTAAGGTTAATGATTTAGGTTTTTAGGGTGTCCAACCTTCAAGCGACGCCCCTCAACCCAAAGGGTCGCGGGGCAGGGCGCTGCTGCGTTCTGCTTCACCCCACCCTATGACCACACCATAATCTTTTAGAATTTAGGTTTTTTCAGAGGAGTTACAGCGAACATTTTGAAACATTGTCAAGACCTGTTTTCCCGTGAGTTTTCCCAAGGAATTTCCCAATATAAACTCAGCATGGGCAATTTTTCTTGGTTCCTTGGAGGCGAAGTGGACTCCGAGCGAAAGGCCAAACTGGAGACTGCCTTGGACGCAGCTGTCACCAAGGCCAGGACTTCAAAATGCAACGGTTTCCCATCGTTTGGTTTCCATTTTTTTTCTGAAGCACCCTATCATTTCTGATATTTTTGGGTGGATTTGCTTTCTGAGGTCGACGAGGAGCGAGAGAAGGCCCTGAAAACAGATGAAGGCGCCGCGGCCGACCGTGATGGGCTGTATAATTATGTTAATAATATTGCATTCTAATTCCACTTCAACAATGGTTTCAAGGCAGGCCCTTGGCTTTCACCTGGTAGACTCACCCATATGGCATGCCATATGGTTCCAGCGGTGCAAGGCATCAGTGGATCTGCCTTTATCACCTTCAAGGACCAGAAGCAGAGCATTATGGTCCGCTGCTTTGAGCCCAACACTTTGAAGGATTAAAGTAAACTCAACAAGAACCCCCTACTCTCGATCGATAAAACTCCAGTGTCCCTTGAACCAGTCAATTGAAAGGTAAAACCACGTTCAACCAGCCCAGCTTGATCTGAGGCCCTCAACATGCGATACACCGCAGATGATGAGGCAAAGTACCGGCTGTAGAGATGTTTGACATGCAAGTCAGCATTGGCACACTATATTATCGACTATATCCTACAGAGACTTTGATGTGATGGAAGATGCGGCTAGCTGGTTTGCCATAAGATTCATTTCAGTGTGGCCTTACCTTCGTTGCATTTGGTGAGGAATTTGTTGTGTCCGTGCCCCCTGATCCTGGAGATGTGCGCTACAATGACCTCGAGGTGGGGTCTGAGAGAAGGCTTCGAGGGAACAAACTGCATCCAAACTGTCACAAGTCGCTGTACGCTCAGATGGATCCACGCAAAGTGGCCGCGACCCAGATGGTGGGTTATGGTTCTTTGTCTGCAGATTATGGCTGAACTTTTCGGTGGCAGTGCCGGTCTCTGTGGCAAGGTCTGATTGCGGGAATTTTCTTTGGCTTCATTCCGATAGTGGCTGGCATCACCAACCTGCTCACATTGGAAAGTGTGAGCAAGGCCTGGGTCAGAGCTCGCTGACTCTGAATCTGAAGATGCATAGACAGCGATCAGTTGAACGCCTTTCAGTTTTGTTCTCACCTGCATGCGATCAGGTTTTATACTGTACTGTGGATGTTGATGATACTCTCCTTGATTCCATGGTGGAAGAAACAATTGACCCGTGATTCACCGTTGTGAGATCCAGATCCTTCAGAACCAGTGCTTTTTGATGCTTTTTGTCTCCAGATTTGTAGGGGTCAGCAGCGGGGACGCCCGCCTTGACAGTCGGCTCCCCTCGCTCCCCCGGCTCCATGTACTTGTCGCCTGAGATTAGCTTCCTGAATGACTTCTTTAGCCGCAATCCCAGCATGGCAGCCTTGTGGGATGGATTGGCATCTCGGCACATTGGCGATTCTGTGGAGTCTTGTCATCAGCAAAAGCAGGTGCTAGCTTCAGATCTTTGTTCAGGCAAGCAGTATCGGACTCAACTTGTTCATGTCCTTCTTGCCCACATTTTTGGCGGCTTGGCAAAATCACAAAGTATCCAAAGTGGTCAGGGTGTCTCTACAAACAAAGATGACTTGTCACATCTTGACAAGTCCATCCTGATGCAAACTGTCCAGTAGAAAGTGCCACACATCCAGGCTTCAATTTTTAGCGTGCACACTCATTGCAGTCTATAGACGTCTTTTGTCTTTGTTCCAAACCAGCGGAGGTGATGATTTTTAGCGCTTGCTTCGCTCTCAAGGCAGTGCAAAAGCCAGTAGCTAAATATTGGCATCGGCCCTCACAGTCCCGCCAGCCCCAGTCTTTCCAGTCGAACACCTGACCAGGCAGATGCCTGGGAACAGCACTACATTCAGCAGTGGTATTTCTACTTCCTGGCCCCTCGGCGGAGGTGTTTCTAGTTGCTGTCAGAAGATTGATATACTCTCTAGCGGAACCTCGTCAGTCCTTCTGGCAGGTCATTGATGAAAAATGTGTATGTACGCGCATAGATCTCTATCTTTGTTTTTCCTCTTGCTTGTCTATCTGATCTCATCCAATCAAAATCTAAATCTAAGTCTACTCTAACCTAATCTAGCCAGAATCTAAACCTAAAACCGAATCTGAATCTAAGGTCAATCAAAATCTGACTGGGATTCGGATTCTGAAAGTCTAATCCAATCTTGATCTTAATAAGATCTGAATTGAATCTGAATCTGATCCAGGAATCTCTTCAGCGCAACCCGCCTTGGTTCAGGGTTCATACAGTGCCTTTCAAGAAGGCAGGTGCACAAGCTCTAAGCCATTCAAGCCCTCCATACACTCTAAGATTTCCATTATTCTAAACGGCAAATGATGATATCTGATAAACCTTTGGATTCTAGGGGTACGCCAGTTGAGACCCTGTCGGCCAAGGTGGTCTACGTGCTGCTGGTGTCACTTGAACAAAGATCAGTGTTTCTTCACGGCGCTGTCAGTGGAACCATGTTGCGAGGTCTTAAGTTGCTCATGTTGCCCAAGATGGCAGAACCTTTGACTTTGTAAGTTCGATTCGTTTCAATTCGTTTCTCAGGACAGCGGTGGGCACGTCGCTCTGGGATAGAGTTCGAGAGCTGGTAGAGGACTGGATCCAGGGGTCCGGAAGGTTGATCAAAGAAAGCGGGCCCTGGAGCTTTCTCGGCCTTTTCCTTAGCTTTGGCACTTTTTTCGTAGCCAGGTGCGACTACCCGATATCAATAGGTTGAACTCCCATGCTCTGGCTTAACCAGCAGGAGTTGATTGGGATTGTCAAACATATAGTAGCTAAGCAGCTAAGCACATTAAACGGAATTAAAAGGTACATAGGCATAGGGGTATATACTCGGGGCCCATGCAGGTCCGACGCATTCGCACCCCCCTTGCATTGCGGTCCTCTGGCGCAGAATCCAACTGCGATTCTTAAGATGCTGGCGCAGTCACTGCCTGCAGCCACCCATTTTTATTTGAACTACGTGCCCCTGCAGCAGGGCACTTAGTTGGGGGCTTGGGCAGTCTTTCCAACTTTGATTCAAATGTGGTTTTGAAATTGGGATGTCCATGGATGTCCTCCAGGTGGGGTACCCATGGCACAAACATGCTGCGCTACATGAACCTCTTCAAGTTCCTGGGATTCCGAAAGGCTGGTCACCACAAAAAAGGTGGTAAAGTGAAACATAAGTGGAGGCCAAACACGAGTGGTTACTACTGTGGAGAAATCATGAGAAATCCACATATTGTGAACTGATCAGTGCGGAATGTTGGCGGATTTTGCAGGTCTGCTCGGAGGAAACTGCTCGAACGAAAGCAGAACCGGAAGATCAAGACTACTACGGTAACATGGCATTAAGTGAAGCGGCCTCGCCAACGTTTCACATTTTCACCAAGTTTTTTAGGGTTTGCAGGGCCAAACGTGCAACCGACATTCCTAATGATCACTTGTTGGGTCATTTCTACTGATAGTATTGACCAAGGACTTTTGTACTGATAGTATTGACCAATATTGTTTCACCAAGGCATGGGCTCGCGAAGTGCGCGTCACACCTTGATTGCGGTGACGGGCCTGGTCTTCTGCACGCTGTCGCCACTCATCACGGTGCTGTGCTTCGTCAATGGAGACCTGGCAGCAAATATATGATATATGGCAGGTTGCTGACTGTCAGAATGGCGTAGAAAACTTCTAAAAACTCAGATCCGTTGCGATGTTGGCCTCAGAAGTCTAGTTGCCGCATGACGGAGCATGGAGCCTTAAGAATCTTCTGCTTTGCTGAGGCGCCGTGTCCTGCTCCCAGATGTGCTAGTTGGCTTGTCGGGCAGGCATGGCAATCAAAGTCAACTGAGTCCTTAGTTTAGTAATTCAGTGACTCCGGTACAGCCAACCAGCCAAGTATGAATAAGTATGCTGAGGTGTCGCTTTCTGTACTCCTATCTTTTTGAACCTCGGGTGGCACTTCATGGTTTTACGCCGTGAGTGCATCACTTTTTCAAGAAGATATATAGTAGAATATGCATCAGTCTGGTCTGTCGACCCTGTCCGAATTGAGGTTTATTCAGAGACAAAGAAGGCTTGGGCTTTGGCCAGAGTGTGGAAGAATACTTGGGTATAACTGGTATAACCCCAAATTATTGACCCTCATAGTGGGAAGTTCAAACATTATGAAATACTGAACATGACCAGCTTTTTGTCTGTGTTCATTTGTCCCGTTGAGCCATTTCCACTTGAAACAAGAGACGGTGCACCTCAGATGTCGAGGCTGACTTGGGAGGAGTCTTCTGGATCACCCAGCTGCGCCACATTCAGCAGGGTGTGCAGGGACCTCAAAAGAGGACGTTGGTAAAGTCATGAGGACCTCTGAACCAGTCAAAAGAATGTAACAAAATGATACAAAATAACATACCAAGCTTTCCAACAGCAAGTGACACAATATATGAGCCATCACCCGTGGATGGGATCAGGTTAATCTACATCATTCTCATGACTGGCGTTCTTCTCGAGCGTGCAAACAGCATCATTCCGGGGGTTATTGCGGCTTTCCGGCCGCAGCAAGATCAGTGGGCCGATTTGAGCCAGGTTTTCAGTGCAAAAATCACAGACCCTTATCCGTTCCTTTGGGATGGGTTGGGCACTGCATCCCGAACCCAGGGAAGCAGCGCTGTAGTTTGGTTGTACACCTATCGTCGCTTCAACCACGCCTTCCACCTGGAGAACCTTCCTCTGAAAGATATCAAGGCAGGCACAGTTCGCAAAGGATGATCATTTTGGGTTGTTTCAATATAAATAAATAGATAAACATAGATAACTAGATTAAATAAATAGATAAATAAATAAATATTTAATTAAATAAACAACTATTTAATTAAATAAGCAATAACAACAACAATAATACTAATGACAGTAATAAATATGTATGTATGCATATATATATAGATATATTATGGACTGTATATATATATATATATAGATAGATAGATAGATAGACAGACAGACAGACAGACAGATAGATAGATAGATAGAGATAGATTTCTATTTTGGGATTTTACCAGCAAAAATGGGGGGGGGTGCAAGCACTAGCACCGTGAAATGGGGATATGACTACAGTATATATTAATATGATTTATTGCAATATTACGATCAACTCCCACCATTTGCCCCGCTTCTGGAAGAGTTTGACGGGATCATTTTCACCATTATCATCAACATCATCATCATCATCATCAACAACAACATCATCAACATCATTAGTATGATCATCGTCTTCTTCCAACAGAATCCTTGAAAATTGGTTCAAAATGCACAGTTCCAGCACTTTTGGTTGCATTAACAGTTCAAACAGAATCCGAACGAACCGTTGCAAAATGCAAGTTCCAGTAATCTCGTTAGAACGAACAGCTCTAACAGAATCCTAGAAAATTGCTGCAAAATGCACCTACCCCACCCCACCTTAAACCATGATGATTAGATCATCTTGGGCGCAGCATCAAAGTCTTGCACAAGGTCGAATAAGTGTTATCATCGCCCCATCCCACCCCACCCCACTGATGCAGCATCAAAGTCTTGTGCAAAGTCGGGTGAACGTTAGCATCCCCCCACCGCACCCCACCGCACCCCACCCTACCCCATGGCATCGGCATCATGTGCAAGGTCGAGGGAACGTGACCGAAGGAACAATAACATCCCCACCCCACCCCACCCCACCCCATGTGAGCGTAGCATCAGCATCTTGTGCATGGTCGAGGGAACATGGCCAAGGGAGCGTTAACATCCCCACCCCACTCTATTCCACCCCACCCCATCCTACCCCATGTAAACTGTGGGGCAAATGGTGGGCGTTGCGTCTAATATTACTTACTATTGACGAATAATTGAAACGCCGATTGGTGGTTTCAAACATTGCTTATCCTGGGATGATCCCAATTGATTGACATTTTGAGGGGTTGGAACCACCAAGAGAATATTACTTACTCTGTAATCACGGAGCCTCAGAAGACTTCGCAGGCTTCTGCTTCTGTGGAAAAGCGCCTGTCCGTCAAGAAGCAATATGTGCAACCTGCGACTTGGCCATCTCTTTTGACTCTGGATTTCAGCCACATTCCACTGCCATTTTGCAGCATGTGCTGTGCAAGGGCTTTTTGGACATCTTTGGAAGTGCATTTCCTTTGCCCTTTGATCATGATAACACTGCAATTCCGAGGAATTGATCCACCACGAAGATAGCCCAAGGGCAAGAAAGGACAAATGAGATTCGCGGAGCCAAAGCGCTCGCCAGTCACCAACCTTCTTCCAAGAGGGTTGGGTGGCAAGAAAGACTCGTAGACTGTCCCGGACAATATGCTGCTCCTGAGGGAAGTGGTTGATATGCTTCGCAGCTTTGAGAAAAGGGTCATGGCGGATGCTGTGCAGGGCCAGTTTGAGTCATATTGGTACTTAGCAGTTGAAGGATTCTGCCTCAGATGCAAAAACTGCTTTGAAAAAGAAGATACACCAGGCAGCTTGATGAGACATGATCGTACTGCTTGGAATATCACATCTGGAAGCTAAAGCAGAGATTGCCTGGGCAGGAAGCAGCGATCTTGGCAGTGAAAGCTCTCCGCAGATTTGCTGGCAAAGTTCACAGGATTGCATTCAGAAATCCGCTTTCGCAGGCAGACAGGGTCAACTGTGCACCTCCGCATTGGGTGGGGCGCACCCGCAGAAATAAAGCCATCACTCTGCAGGCTGATGAGATTCCGATGCCAGAAACAAAGCATATTCTGGAGGCAATGGGGAACAACAGGAGGCTGTACATGGCGATGCTTTGTTTAGCTTGAAATCATTGAGTCATTGAGTCACCAAGTATCCACAGCATACAGTGGTATACCGTGGCGACATTGTCCAGTACCGATGGCAATGCTGGCCATACTTTCCAGCGCAGGCAGCCAAGCAAGCCGAGGCTTTGAGACTCTGGGCACAAGACTTCCTCTCAAATATGCGACGACTGATGTGATATGCACCAATACAGCAAGGGTTTAAAGAGTAACTTGGAGGCAGAGTTTCCAGAAAAATGGCTTAGCTTGGCCGTCAAGAAGCTTGCAGAAGACCTACCAAAAGCTGAAGGCGCAGAACTGTTCCGATCCTTTGAAAGTTCAGTACCAAATGGCCCTTGCCTCTCTACTTTTCCCAGAGCAGCCCGTAGTCGCAATCACAGTCCATTTGCATTGGCATCAGTTTTGCAGACATGATCATTCGACTTTGAACATTGACAAGGCGAAAGTGAGGACAGTTCCCCTGCAGAAGTAGCAGCACCCTTACCCACTGTATTCCTTGGTCTTTGTGAGAGTGATATGCTGGCATGGCATTCTGTTGCTACCTATAGGACCAATAGTTTCACTCAGTAGGGCTTTGATGCAGCGCATAGACTCAGTTGCTGCAAAGGGCAATAACATGCATGACACTGTCTACGACTGATGGTGATGTCAGCGATGTCATTGCTTGTCTTCATTTGATACAGACTCTTTATAGGACTCTTGGTGGTGTCAGTGATGTCATCGGTTGCCTTCATACAGACTCTTCATTCGTTCTGTTTTTTCTTTGAATTCTGAAACACAGTAGGTTGTTTCACTCACGTGTCAGCTCCATCGCTCCTAAAAAGCCACCTGAGGCTAACAGCGGATCAAGGGGTGATGCCGCTACCAGCAGGGAACCGGTCATCAAAAAGCGAAAACTTGCAGACGCACGAGATCCCAGACCAGTCCCTGACTCGGATGGGAAAAACAGGGCTTCAAGGATGGCAGTGATGGCAGTATTTCCGTTTTAAACGAGCAGCCACAAAGCCATTCTCATTCGCCATATTTTAAATGCTTTGAGGTTGTTTTAGTTTTTACTGTTGAAGTTGTTTCGTATGTGAAATCTTGGTCTTGTGGCATGAGATAGAACTAGTTTGCCGACACCGGACTCAAAACACAGCTCTTTCTTCACCGCTAGAAGACGCCATTTGCAAATCTTCAATCTGGGGCATTCAACTCACCTATTGTGTTTGCCACACATCCGATCTGTGATTGTTACCAGTGCAGATCTTGGATTCCAAGAGCTCTGTGAGTTATCTGAGGTGGTGAGACTCCGTGGAAAGACCAAACAGAAGGGGCTCAAACTGCCAGATTGAGGGCCCGCTGATTCGGTCGAGGGGAGTCCGTGTGATTTGCTGCTTCCAATATTTCCACTTGAAAGGAACGTTAATCTGACAAATCTGACATAGCATATGCATGCTTATGCCAGATTTATTTCTTTGTAGCCGCATGTTGCAGCGACCTGGGAGGCCGATCTGATGTCGGATTTTCGGAAATCCGGCAGCCGGGCCTTTCGTTGCCAAACAGGGCGGCAATGGTTTGGGGGAAAAGATCGTGGCTGGACATTTGGCGGCTGGAAATTGCTGGCAGTGAGCCAGCGTGCTTTCTGATCAGGGACACCAAAAACATGAAAACACATAGAAAAAAGGCATCGACTTCCGCCTTCCGCTGCTCGATGCTGTCCCAAGGCCGGGGCTATGGGGCTGTGGTGGTGACTATGCTGATGTCCCAGCAGCTCCTGGTGGCGCTCAACGAAGCTGCGCGCGGTGTAGGAGCTGCCTTTGTGTTGGGCTCTCAACATCGGAATGGTTTTTAATGTTTTCTAGATATTTATGCTATAACATGCTATAACTATCTTTAAATCCTTGGAGATCTGGAGATCCTTGTGTTTGAGGCAGTATGTATTTGATGTTGGAATAGGTGTCACAGTTTTTTCAGGCTTGGTTGAACCTTGAGGCTCTCCGTCAACATGGGCGTCACCACCTCTATCTTCTCGGACTTTGGACCTAAGCATCCTGTATTCATGGTGCATGGGTGGGTGGTGCCAAGTCAGACAGTGATGCTATGGGATCCTATGGGAATTATGGGATCCTAAGCGACTCTCTGTGAGATGAACATCCATTTGCCAGCTTTGGTCTGAAAATTGGGGTACAAGATTTTGACCCTTGGCAATCCAAGGCATGTCATCTCCGATGAAGATGGTGAGCCCACGCAGATGCTCGTGCGATGCCAAGGAAGCTGACATAGGTCCAGGTAAAGCACACGAGTCATAGTCTAGGTGCTCAATGGTCGGAGATGATCAACTGATAGAAATCATCTCCAGCATTGTATTTGGTAAAGACGGTTAGTTTGACAGTTCTGATAAATATATGTATATATGTATGCACAGAAAGGCAGGTGGGTCACTACCGCAGGTTTAGTTTTGTGCCTTTGTGAGGCTGTGAGTGCGGCGGAGGTTGTGCCGGTGAGCAATATTGTGAAGGCCTTTTTGGGGCCTGCCGTATCGTGATGCCGGAACTGACAGAGAAGCTAGCAGTGAATCAGTCGAATCATCACCCATGAGCTGCTGTTGACTGACCAACATTTTGGTGACAGGTCCATGGATGCTCTGAGGGTGATGCAGTCTGCAACCCAAGTCTCCTACATTTACAGTGACTGTAGGCCAAGTAGGCCCAGTGAGGGCTATGCCAAGACACTTGACAAAGTTGACAGGTTCTAGTTCTCACCTTGGCCTCCGACCATGGCCTGCAGGACAGCTCTTGTCCTGCCGAAACTGAATTTGGCCAAGAGTCAAAACTTTTGGAGATGGGAGTTCCACTGTACAAAGGTGAATTACACGAAAGTTCTTTGGACTCCCTGGCAATTCTTTGAAAATTGCTTGTTTGGATGCATATTTTAAACATTATTCAATCTGTTATCGCTGAACGCATGCTGTGAGAGGATGGCGACATGATTGCTCTCGATGATATGCGTGGCACCCTATCTGGATTCAATGGCAGGCGGAAACCGGGAAAATCCCTTCTGCCAAGAACAGTCAAGAATCCTTTGGAGTGGAGACTAAGAGACGTACAGACACTTTTAGTGTCCAACTCCTCACGGACCTTCGACGCTTTGCTCAGAAACTTCACAGAATTTGCACGGATAGCAGGCAAATCAACACTTGAATCAGATCGATGGAGACAGGGTTTCTGGACAATCAGGATAATCCCAACATATTCCAACTCGACCAGGCAGGTCAAAGTCCGCCGCTTCGGCGTCGTGTCACCAACAGATGCCAAGGTGGATTTGAAGGACACATGGGCGACGGATTGATGTGTGTCTTTCCTGGTTGGATCTGGTTGGTTGTGTAGAATGACGCTATGATAGAATTGGATGATGGGAAAATTTACAGGAAAGCCCTATATTTGACGGTAAAAACCATGGTTTCCGGTAGATTTTCCCTTAAAACCAATCCAATGAATAAGTGAATCGGGGGCGTGTTTTTTTGTTGGCAAAGGCACTTTGGCCGTTTAGATTCGTTTAGTGCTTTGAATCAAGTGGAAGTTCCTGGAAGGGAAGCAAAGCGGATAGAACGCAGCGCAACCCAGGATGTGGCCGTGAAGGAAATGCTGAAAAACACAACCGGTGAGGCAGCGAAGAGAAGCCAACGAGGGTTTCAGGGTTTGGATGTGTGGGAATCTTTGCTTTGGATGCAAGATGATCCCATTGTGAAAGCCAAAGACAAAGTGGAACCCCTGTGGCTTGTTTGTAGATCCACTATGATTATGACGGTGCTTCTTGAGAAAGAGCTGAGGACATCATACGTTCTGTTTCCATTGTCCCAGTGTGTTGGGCGCGAAGAATCTCGGGCCTCTTGACGCCTCGTGTGGACTGCGGGAGGTGCTCACCAATTTCCAGCGTCAGTATGACCACTACAAATCCGAGTTTGATGCCTCCGGGAGCGAAGGGAAGTTCAAACAGCCATGGTCCCAGCTTGAGCTGGTAGGATGAGTCAATCAGAGGAAATTGCCAAACAGTAAAAATTGTAAAAATGGTAAAATATACAAACGGACATACAACGCGAGCTTTCTTGGTGAGAGCAGTTTATAAATTCAAGGGATCTGGGAATCTCTGAGGCGAGAGATTACCCTCTTCAATCGTTTGGTCCTGGATATCGAGGCATGCTTCAAATCTCAAAACAGTTGAAGCCGCAGCATGGGAGAGTCTGAAGATGTCTGAAGTGGGGAGCGAGAATAACAGATGAAAATGCCTATACAAGTGGTACTCATACTCTGTTGATAGAGGTCTTTCCTTCGTTGCATACATTTCTTTTTGACAATTTGATGTAGAGGCAAGCAACTTGGAATTGTGCTGCCCTCAAAGGCTGTGAGAATTCAGCTGAGCTTCTGTAGCGTTGACCACAGCTGGAAGTTCGACCCAGGTGGAGGGACTACCAATCTGGCGGCTTGGTAAACTCTGTCAAGCCTGCTGTGACCAAAGAGTGCCCTCACCATGGCTGCTGAACGAATGCCTTGATTGAGAAGTCAAAGTCAGAAGGTGAAATGAGCTGGGGGGCTTCCGTGTGGGACTTGTCTTGCAACAGCTTGACAGTTTTAAGGTACCAGTCCTTTGCGCAGAGTCTTACCTTCACTGCGAACCCGCAGATGATGGACCAGGAGGTGTGACATCGTGTGACCAGTCCTTTGCCGACCAGGGCCACTTGGGCCACCTGGGCTGATTGCCTCCTCTCGGTGCAGGCATGGCACGCAGGAGCTGGTTGTTGGGTGGGATCCTCAATGGCTCCAGCCTATTCTGGTTGCTTCACGACGACTGCACGAACTGTTGGCTCTGGATTGAGTGCTTTTGGATGGCATAACCCGTGTATTCATTGGCGTTTTTGGTTTGGTGTGTTTTCCTATCTGAAACTCTTGATTTTGTTCGTAGTTCTTCAAACATGTAATTGCGTCTCATTGATAATTGACCTGACTATTTTTCTATTGTGAATATGATATTCGGATCTTATACAACATTTTGGTTCTTGATTTTTTCCTAATTTGGTTTCTTGATTTTGTTTCTTAATGTTCATTCTTTATTTTGATTCTTGACATCGATTTATTGACTTTGATGGTCAACAATTACTTATTTCTGATTAAGGAACCAACTACTTAAACATAGAGTAGTGAGAACGCTGAGCAAAGATGAAACAATAGATAACAAGATAAGATAAGATAAGATACAATAAGATAAGATAAGATAATAGATAGATAGATAGATAGATAGATCGATCGATCGATCGATCGATAGATAGATAGATAGATATACCCAACGCGAGCAATGATCCTAAGGTTCCGACCACTTGTTGGGGGGGTTCTGCGGGTGGGGGTTGGGGAGGTGCCATGGGGGGGGGTGAGAGGGGTGTAATAACGTTCTTTTGGTTTTCAATGTTGTTCTGTTTTTCAATGAAACATGTACCTTGTTCTCAAATGCAACAACGATTTTTCCGCCAAATCTGGCGAAACCATGTCTCTTCACAAAACATCTTATTGAGCTATGGAAATCCAAATTGAAACTAAGTCATAATATGGTTGAAGAAATGAACACGCTGAAAACATTGCAAAGACCAGCAAAAACTGGTCCTACAAACGGCTGCAGATACAAAGACACAAACTTCCATTCGCATGGATCTCTGAAAAACGATTGTGAACTGTGGGCAAACCTGCGCGCGCGGCAAACCCAACATGTTGTAAATGTCGTCACATGAAAAGAATCACCTTGAATTATATGTAATATATCTCTTGAATCTTTCTGTCAATGTTGTAGAGAATCTTTCTGTCAATGTTTCTACAAGTAAAACCAAGGCGACTATTGTCGATCAAATATAAGCTGAATCAAACTTATGGAGTGATTGAGCACAATAAAGCGACGTTGAAGATGACTGCTTCCATCCAGCCTATTGAATACCTCAAAAAGTATACCAATCAGTCCACACAAATATGACAGATTCAAACATATTAATGGCTGCTTGATTAGGAAAGTGAGCAGTAAATTCAGTAAATGAGAGACTGAACACAGAACATTTCAACATACTCAAAGCACTTGAATCAATTTATATATATAAAGTTGACTTATGTTTGCAACAAAGAAACAACCTGTGATTTTTCATTTTCCTTTTGGACTACATGTTCAATTATATTACGATACCAAGATAAACTCTATGTTGAGTTTGATTCATTTTTTTAAACATGATTTCATTATTCTAGATTTTATGTTTTGTCTTATTTGTCTTATTCATTCAGTAGTTTTTTTCATATTATTTTAAGCATCGCAATTCCTGCTTGTATTAAACATGAACTTTGAAGATACGGTTTTGAAATAATCAAACCAGCTGCACCTTTTTAAAACCTTGAATTTGTCTTTGTCCAAGAATTCTGACACTGATGATTTTTGCGAGAGAATGAATAAGATGAATGAGATTAATACTGTTTGATTATATATTGCTTTTCTTTTTCAATAATGATGCGAATGAATGAGATGGCAACTCCATCGAATTAATCATCGAACATGAATACGGTAATAATTATGCGACAATGATAGTTAAAAACATACCTTGAATTAGTACTGTAATTAGTATTTTCATTTTTTCCCCAAAACTTCAAGGTTCTGGTGCCCGCAGCCTGTACTGCTGCGACTCGAGGTACAACTTGCGATTGCTGCTGCCTTGCGCTTTAGAGATTCCAAAGGCCGCTTCCCGGCTCTCCTCAATGAAGAAGATGCAAAGGAACTAGCTGAAATCTCAGCTGAACGGAAGGACTTATGGAAAAATCCACACCAAAATTAATTAGATGAAGGAGGGACATTTTGACTTTCCACATTTTCCATCATTGGGATAGGATCTGTGTCTGCAGTTTGTTCTATAAGGCCGACATGGCAAAAACGTTGAGTGAAGAGCAGAAGTCCCAGGCGCCCTCTGTGAGTGGCCGCAGATTCCATATGAATTACATTGAATTGCACATCGGATGGTTGCTCACAATTTTACTGATTAACATGTCATTTGGGTTTACTGTATACTTTGGGTTGGAACATTAAAACGAAAGATCCCGTGGTAGGTTCTCGTAGTGATCAACGTTCTGCACCAGTGCCCATAGAAATATCCTGTGATGCGAGGAGGGTGCTTGCTGGCTGCAGAAGGCTCTCCAAACTGGGGCACGTGCAGCTTCAAAGACTTTCTGTCCTTTTGTTGCCTTGTGAGATTGGAACTTCATGGAATTTCTAGGTGATTCTCACCTTTTGCTTCTGAAGTCAGAGTTGATTGATTCCCAAACACACACACACACACCTACACCTACCTGGCAGGTGGAGTGGGGCTTCCCAAGCGGAGAGGCTGTTGAGGACATGGCAGCTTTGGAGGTGCAAGTGAAACGAAGTGAAACGAGGTTTGTGCTGTGCCTTTTTTGACAATACTTAGTGCAATTTTCAATGTGCCAGGCAAACTTCAAGCGCTTCAGCATGCTCTTCGAGACTGAGCTTACAGGGCCCTGGCACCAAGGGAGAGCTCAGATCTGACTTGAGCAATTTGTTTTGGACAGTGGACATTGGCTATGCGAAAGATTTTGATGTAAGCAATGTAAGCTGCTTCCCGATTTTTTTAATCCTGTTACCTTGTGCTTCCACCTTCCAGTTTCTATGTGTTGAGATATAGATGTTGCTCAGGGACCGAGTCTGGATTGAAAATATTGAAACAGCATCGTATTCACTGGATCCGCAGCCGCTGCGGACAAGGGCATGAGGCTCACGGTGAAACAATCGGTACATGGGGCCATGACGATCATTGCTGAAGTGGACGTGGAGGACTGGAACTGGAAGACGTCATGAAAGTTGCAATGCGATTGTGATTGTGATGTGGGGTTGTACGGGGCTTGGCAAGTACATTTGCCATGCCAAACACTTTACATTTATTGGCTCAAGATCAGGTCGTCCTAGCCTCAATACCCTGGCAAAAGGCTTTTTAGTAGAGAGGACTTGGTCAAAGGCCACAATGCTCTTGACACTCTTGCCACTCTTGCCACTCTTGCCATTGGTTTCTGGCAGCGAATCGCGAAAAGATCTGCAGCAGCAGGGCTTTGCTTTTCCACTTGGGAAGTTCGATCCCTATCTCACTGCTCGGCTAGTAGATCAAGTGAACGATTGGGAGAAGCAGGGCTTGGCTATTGAACAGCAAAACGCTACCTGGAATTCCCATTTTCGATCAGATGTTGTGATGGAAGCTGCTACAGACCCTCAGGTCTTGGATGCAGTTCAAGAGGTTGTGGGCAAGGATGTTGTCCTTCTTCACACGACTTTCTTTGCAAAGTACCCTCGAACACTTTCGATTGATTCCAGTGAAAGCTCTCCCAAGTGCTTAACAATCATTGGCACACATCAAGACCGCACTTACTGGGGCATCAACCCAGAGTCGAAACCAGTCGTGAGTGTTTGGGTTGCAATTGACAATGTCACAATGGAGAATGGGGCCATGCAGTTCTTCCCAGGCACCCATAAGACGAAACTGGAACATGTGAAAGGCTATGATGAGTGCTCAGCCCTTTATGATTCTCAAAGCATTCGCCCAGAGGACCTGCCATCAGAAGAGCCTGTGAATATGGAATTGAAGCCGGGTGAGTATGGCATTTTTGACAGCCAAGCTGCACATCGCTCAGGGCGGAACACCAGCCCTCATCGCAGGATCGGTTTGACCATGATTTACGTTCCCGCGGAAGTTTGGTTCTCAGAGACAAACATTAAAGAAACTTGGAGGGTTCCCTTGAAGGTTCGGTGCGGTGGCAAGCCGTGTCGAGAACGAATCGAGCTGTGAGTGCTTTCAATTTGGCCCGCAGCCATCGTTGTAGTGGCAATCCTTTCTATAAGATCTATAGTGTACAATTTCGAAATGGCCAAAAGTGCCATAAAACATGAAAAGCTCTTGTTCGTGGCAGAAACCGAGCTTCAACTTTGCAGTCAGCACGTAGCATCGGTGGCTTCATCATTTTCAGAGGAAAGCCCCGCGTCGTGAGCTGGCCAGGAGCGACAAGATGAGGCTTCTTCCCCACCTTGGCTACACGCTTTCAAGAAATGCCATGAATGCAACAATTTTCAGAAATTCAGAGTCTCTAAAAGCATCCAAACCTCGGAAGAGATGAACTCTTGGCTTGTTTGGGATTCATGTTGTGGACCATTGTGTGTACGGTATGTGTGCACGGCATGTATGCGCGGCATGTGTGCACGACATGGCGCAGCTTTCTCAGCCGCTCAAAGTACCGGACGTGGGAAAAAGAGCTGGACAAGTTGAGGACTGAGACGCGATGAACTTTTGGGCAGCACAGGTCGTGTCAATATGCGTGCTTAGTGGCACTTATATCGGTCCAAACCCGACCCGCCATCTCTAAACATTGTTAGATAAGCATCCGAACCAAAACTATTCGAAAATTGCACACTTCTTGGGACATTCGTTGGATTCAAGGGCATCGTGACTATTTGTGACGGAGGACAATGGCAGCTGCTGTCCTCCATGACATGGTCTTGAACTGCGACATCCAAGGCTTGAAGGCCGGTGGTGGGGAGCCGAGGGCCGAGAGCTTGGTGTTGAACTCGGTGTCGCGCTCGGTGGTTCCGTGTTCGCGCCGCACCAGGCCACCATCAAGGATTTGCAGAAGGAGGGTATCGATGTGAAGGCTTGAGCTGTCAGAGCTATCACGAATTGTGATGATGGAATCGTGATGGAATTCTATGGAATTGTGATAAAATATCCGCTTTTGCCCTTCAGCTCGAGATCATTGGTAGGTTAAGAGTAGCATGTGGATGATTGAATCCTCCAAGATGGGGCAAGTAGATTAGGTACAGTATGCTGTTAGAGTTTGACAAAACCTGTGTGTTGAATGAAATCTGAGCACTAAGGGTTCACCCCGAAAGACACACCGGAGTCATGCTCTTAGGATGAGGTGACCAGCCATGAGTTTGGTCGACGTGGAGCACGGATACTTGTCGGAGAATTCCAACTTCGTCCTTGAGCTGGGAGGTCTTCCAGAGTGGTAGTAGTTTGAATTCGACACTTGGTAAGCTCATAGCTCCATCCTGGACTTGGATGCAACTGGTAGCGATCATCCAATATCTACAATATACAGTATCTATATTTAAGGCTTGCTCCAAATTTTCATGCAGCCATGGTGACATGTTTGATCTGTTGCTAAGAACTCCGATGCATGCTGCTGCGGTGCGTGGCCGTGCAGAGATTATGCAGCTGCTGCTGAGCACTGGGGTGCTTGGACTTGAATTTGGTACCGGAGCAGAGAGCTACCTCAAGCGTGTCGCAATTAGCGTCAGAGAAACTCCAGAGGGAGCATGACACATGAGTGAAGAGGACAATATATAATTGGGATAAGCTGGTATATTCAAGCAATACTCATTGGCCACAATTGGTTGCAAACTCCGGACTTTGTATTTTAATGTATTTTATGTGTTTTGTCAGTTTCTTTCCAGGTGGATTGCTGTTTAGTTTCCAAGAGAGTTGCAGGCCGACCCGAACACAAGCGACGATGCCGGCACCACCTGCTTTCACTTCGCCGCTGATCTTGGCCACGCTCGCGTGGCATCGTGAACTAAGTGATGTGATGTTTTTGGAGAGCAGGTTGCAATGGACAAGCAGCAGATGCGCGCGCATTCATGCATGCATGCATGCATGCATGCATGGATGGATGGATGGATGCATGCATGCATGGATGGATGGATGGATGGATGGATGGATGGAATGTATGTACTGTAAATGTAATGTAATGTAATGCAATGCAATGCAATGCAATGCAATGCAATGCAATGCAATGCAATGTAATGTAATGTAATGGTATGGTAATGTAATGGTATGGTAATGTAGTGGTATGGCAATGTAGTGGTATGGCAATGTAGTGGTATGGTAATGTAGTGAATGGTAATGTAGTGGTATGGTAATGTAGTGGTATGGCAATGTAGTGGTATGGTAATGTAGTGGTATGGTAATGTAGTGGTATGGTAATGTAGTGGTATGGTAATGTAGTGGTATGGCAATGTAGTGGTATGGTAATATAGTGGTATGGCAATGTAGTGGTATGGTAATGTAGTGGTATGGTAATGTAGTGGTATGGTAATGTAGTGGTATGGTAATGTAGTGGTAATGGTAATGGTATGGTATGGTATGGCATGGCATGGCATGGTATGGTATGTATATGGATTTAATTGGATTTATATTAACAATATTAACACACGTATAAATGCATTGTATGTAATTGTATGTACATATATCGATATAATTATATACATTCCATATGAACATTATCACATATATCATATCATAGAACGTTTTTCTCCCCATCAAGTCATGACCCGAAGTGAGGTACCATCTCCTGAGGGCAGGTGGCGATCCAAGCCTTCGCAATGGCTTTGGCAGCAGGCATGACATGCACCAAATGAGCAACATACCCTCTGGGAATCAAATATGGCAATGGACAGTCACCCATTTATGATGATTTTCCCATTATAATGAAGCCCCCATTTATAGATATTTATAGGGGATTTCCCATCTAGCCATGTTTGATTACCCTGGTTTATCTGTCCGGTGTCGTCATTCTTGATCCGTGTTCATCCTTGATAGGCCGACAGACAAATTGGTGACCAACAACTGGGACAGTGAGGACAGTTCTACTGGCGAACTCCCGAAAGAAGCTTTACTTGAGATGCATGCAATGCATGCCGTATTGAACCTGAGCACCATTTTGTGTCTCCAGCACTGTCCTCCAGTGCTGAAATCTGGCATACATCTAGCAGCTATCTAGCATCTGAGCGTGACCAGCTCGCAGGAAGTACTGGAGGGAAAAGACCAGATCCGAAGGCTGATTGCAGGCTCTCCAGTGCCTAGAACAGTAAAGAAACAGTGCTGACAGTGCTCTTCAAGCTGCTCTTCAGGCTGATTTCGGTCCGTACGCAGTGCCGTTCTCGTCGTTCTCGTCTGAGTCCACAGATTGCGTCAGGTGAAAGGATTCCTTACGACCTCCTTCGTGACGAGCCAGAAGCTCCGGTGCCTTGGTAAATCAAAAGCCCTGTTGGTTGATGAGTTTTCGGGGTATCTGGTATGGTATAGTATTATAGAAATATGATGTTATACGTTATACTATCTTACTACCCAATACATATATATATATACATATTAATATATTACACACATTGATATTGATTGGGGATGATCATGCTCCATGAACTGGGAATCTACAGAATCCCGTTATGGTGATGTGGAACCTATGTGGAACCTGGAACCGTTCAGGAGAAGACCGTCACTTCACCAAGTCACCGCCGTGGTGGTGCCTAAGGCGGCTCGCGTTGATAGATTTCATGGAGATGTGGATTTTGTGAACTGTGGGAAGGAAACTGTATGAAACTGTGGCTTATTTTCTTGGTCGAATTTTGGAGTCTCTGATTTTTGCGGCTGTCAAATCCCTGATCCGCAAGGATCTGGAGCAAGAATCCAGCATGTCATATTCGCTTTGTCGCACATGGCAGCTGGCAGGGCAGCTCACTGGACGTGCTTTTTGACGTATCATGTGGCAATCCTTTGGTAAACTTTGCTTACCAAATGGCTATTATATGCTATTGGTAGTCTCAAAGCACAGATGATCCGGGGCAGAGATTTCTTTCTTTGAAGCCGTGTGGAACAGACAAATCCACTGCATGACGACTGTATTTGCCATGTTCCCAACGCCTGGACAGACTGCAGCAAACATGACGAACGTATGACTAACGTCAAGAGCAGGGGCATGGCAATTGACAGAATGGGCATGGTGCCAGTGTATTGAACGGCAACCCCTGGTGACAAACACTCTTCGGGTTGGATCCCCCTGAATACGTGGTTGCTTTGTTGCCAAGAAGGGGCAGTCTGCAATAGATGACACCTTGAACAAACATGTTTGAGCCTTCCAATTTTTGCCTGGACCCCTTAATTGAGTACTGCCATGTCGCTGTGCACTCAGTCTGGGCGCGGGATCAACGCGCAAGAATTCATTTTGAACTCGTGAAGAGTTTGTGCTGCAGCGATGCAACCTAAGCATATGGTTCCTAGTTGAAGTCAAGCACATTGCCCTGCCAACAGTTTCTGATCCAGTAGTGAAGATTCTTTTGGTTTTTGATTCAGCAGGAACCATGTTGTTAGCAGATCACACTTCTCAGATGGGTGGATGGTGAGCACCAGCCTCTCCTCAGATCCTTTTTTTTTCGGTGCTGTGTAGTCTCGAATGACTGGGCTTGAGCCAATTGCTGGTTTCTTCAAGGCTACGAGTTGTTGTAGAATTCCAAAGCCAACATCTCAGAGAAACTTGATCGTGTTCACGTATGGACAACTAGGAAAAACAACACCACAGTGGCCGTAGAAGGCGCTTGTCTCACCGCCAGAGCAAAATTCTGTGACAAGTCTGGCTTGACGACTCCCCTCCGGGGTATAGCGGCACAGCTCCGTCCGGCCCCCTTTGAACCTGAAATGGTGAAGACTGCACAGCGAGGCTTTGATCTCAGCATTTCATAGGTTGGAGTGACAGGGGTTCAAATGAGATTCTCATGCTCATAGTCCTTACATGTACTTATTATGTACTTATTATGTACTTATTATGTACTTATCATGTTGTTACTAGGTACTTATAACTTATAATCTACTGATGCCTTCCTTTTGGTTTCAGGAGGGAAGGGCTTCAACAGTACTGTCTCCTGTAACATCATATTCAATCACGTAGTCCCTGAAAACATGAACGGAGATTCGCCTTGGAACCAAAGTCATCCAGCATCAACGGGATACCCGTCTTTTTAAGCATGTTGTATGATTTTGTCAAGGATACCCATGGAGCTGAAGAATTTTGGCAAACCAGCAAACCAACCTCGTTTCTATCGATGTCTTGCAATGCTGTTTTTACTACTTCGGGTGTTGATTTGAGCCGAACCAGGCGCGCAAGAGCCAGAGAGCGATTCGTACTGCTTGGAAAGCTTGGAAAAAGGAAGCTCTGAGTCAGTGTCGTCCGTTCTTGTGTACAAAGACGATCAACGTGTAAAATATATGTGATTTTCCAAGGGTGGAATAACTGCTACTTTAAAGAGATAGAGCAACTTTGGAGCCTCCATGGAGCTGCATGGACTGTCCTCCTCACTCCCCAGCGCAGGTGTTTTTGGAATGAGGAGCAGGCCTTGGAGAAGTCAGATTGATAACATATTTCTTCAGTGCCATCAATCTGATGATTGAAATCTATCTGTTTTGCAACCAACTGCATGTGTACAGAACTTAGGGATACTTAGGGTGCTAAAAATGGCCACAGGCGCCATGGGTAATTTTGGAGCTGAACTGGAAGCTGCGACCAAAGCGTTCGACAAGATAGCGCGATTTGTAGCAGCAATGTAGCGCGCAAGCGCTGAAGTGGCGACTGGCCAAGTGCATCGGCAGATTTCAACGGGATAGATTGCCCCCAATAACTTTTGGACAATGGCAGGATTTTCGATTTTTTGATGATCTTTGACACGTTTCGGCCATTTTCCAGGTTTTCAATGGGATGATTCCCTATATTCCACGATCGAAAAAACCGATTCGAGGACGTTGATTTCCGGAATGTTCCAAGGCTCTGTGCCTTCCTGGGTGGTGTGGTGGCACAGGAAGTCATCAAAAAGACGGGGAAGTGGCTTCCCCAGTTGAGCGGTATCCAAAGGGAACGCACATTGAGCAGCTCAGAGATCTGGTTTCTGACTGCAGAAACGTGCTCCAGCTCGAGGTGGAGTGACACAAGTACCAATCCAGCAGTCAGGTTTTTTTTGAAGCTCAGGTTCACACCCATCGAGCAGTGGGTGCATCATGTTGCGGCGCCCAGAGATTGCAGCTGAAACACCCAATTTTTCGTGGGTTTCTACGAAATTGGGGTATTGCTCAGATTTCCAAATTTTGATGGAAACATGTGTTGGCCAAACGGGGGGTTGTCATCCCCCGTCGTGTTTCGAGCCCAAAAACCAACCCGGTAGGGCAGCGCATACGATAGCATTTCGAGGATGACGACAGCTTGGTGCAGCCTGGGGCTTCTCCGGGAGAATATGCTGGGCCAGCAACCCAGCCAGATGAATGGAACCGCCAAGTTTGGCGACAGAAAATGTGAACAAAGCTGACTAGGTACCCCATATACCGCCTAGTTCAACATGATGGACCCCGCAGATTTTTGAAGAGCTCAGGACACGCTATGCATACCAGGCAGCTGTGGGGAGCCCAGAGGGTCTTTCCAAACCGGGAGGCCGCAAAGTCACTGATTCTCAGGTCCTTTTCCAACACTGCTTGGAGGTTATCATGGTTATAGATTCTGCATGATATTGTCATCCTCATCTCAGATATCCCACATATACAAATATATTATACAGAATTATACAGATATATGATATATATATATGATATATATATATATATAGATAGTATATCCCCAATTAAAGCATACATACCTGAAATGATTGTTGCAATATGGATACGCGCCTAGATCACTAGGTCTTGGGCTCCAGCTTCATGGATGATATCCGGAAGCAGCGTGTTCAGCCCTCAGCCATCCTCACTTAAAATGGCGCGTGTGGTGTCAATGGATCAAGGGTCATGGGATTCTGGCTGGTGCTTTCAAGTATCTACTGTATAATATATATATATACATATATAATATGTAGATAATATGTATATAATATGTATATGTATATGTAGGTACGCGACTGTATTACCACTCCCTGTATTTCATTCGACTAAGATTACACAAATGAACATCATCAGGGGTTGCCGACCTTATGCGGACGTACTCAAAATATGTCCGCCAGGCAATGCTCGATTCCATGTGATGCACGAACATGTTAAAGAGTAAAATACACATTAAATACACTGTAGAATGCAGTGCAAAATGACGTTTTCAGGATGACTTTATCAAACTTCGTTCATCGTGGAACCACAATGTCTTTATCCTGGAGACATACATCCCAGATATCATCACCTAGACGTCACCCATCACAATGTCGCCAGAATGAATGACCACAAAAAACAGCTGATCTTTTTTTCACAAGATAACATACTGGAGAAGCAGATATGGGGGGTGTATGTATATATTAATATTATATATATATATATTAATCTATATATATATATAATGTTTGCATTTTAATATATATATATATATCTGAATGATATGCTATATTTCAGTTTCCCAAAGCACTTTTTTTTCTTCGAGATCTGAGGTGTTTTTGGTTGGATGTGGTGCACTTGGCTGTGAATACCTGAAGGGCCTGGCATTAATGGGTCTCGCCGCCACAGATTCGGTCGTGAGTCTCTGGACTTCTCCATAAAACATATTGGATTGGGACATGGGTGCTGGTACCATCTGGTACCATCTGGTACCATTTCTAGTAACTTGTCCATTTCTAGTACCATTTCTAGTATATAACATGGTACCTTGCTGGTAACTAAGTTGACCCAAAAAAGTGGGTACCCTGGTTAGTCAAGCAGCATTTGCGAGTTCATTGCGAAGGCACAAGGTTGGCACTACTCAGCCAGGTGCTTGCAGTGGGCCCGGGGGAAAGCTGATTGTCACCGACATGGATCGCATCGAGGCATGCGGGAAGTGTTGCCAAATTTGCCACTTTGTTGAGGGCCTAAGCTTTTGCAGTTTATCATTTTGTCATTTAACAGATTTACAGATATACAAGCATATGGAGCATTGCAAGCCTGAATACGTACATGTGTTATCAGGTGTTTGTGATTACACTTTTTGCTGTCCATAGAGCAAAAGAAAACAATTTTGCAGTGTACAGATCTGCCTAAATCTAATTATGACCTTAACTCATACATCCTTTGCAGGTGTCGAACCTCAGTCGTCAATTCCTCTTCCGGCAGACTGATGTTGGGCCAGGGTCTCACAAGTCGTGCTCCACAAGAGTACTTGTACGTAAGCATCCTGATAGAAGACATTTTCTAGATTTTTTCAGCACGTGCTTATCACAGCTAGCCAAGCGTTTGACAGGGACAGCTCTTAATCTATCACACATCAGGGCATCGGAGCGGAATTTCCCAAAAGCCCAGGAATCCCAAAAGCACTTCGGCGCGCCGGGTGGTAAAAGGTACCACACGGGCTGAAAGATGGGCATGCTGGTAACATGAAACACAAACACATAGAATCCAAAATTTGAACTTAAATAGATATCCGGCAATCAAAGTAATCAGAACTTGGCAGTGGAAAAACATATTTATAGATTATCCAAAACAACCATTGTCAAGTTCTATCAAGTACTATAAATGGGTTTATAGATTATCCAACACATTTATAGATATTTATAGATGATTTTCCCATATTTTCCCACTAAAACCTCCAAATTCCAACACGGGGATTTCCCATGTTCGATTTTTCCGGCCTGGCCAGGCTGGAACCCGGATTTGAACATCGAAGCCTTGGAGAAGGGCGTGGGAGTCACCTCCGAGGTCCAAAACATGCAAAACATGAGGATTTCTTGGGTATTCATTGGATTTTTTGGGTATTCATTGGATTTTTTGGGTATTCATTGGATTTATGATAGGATTTATGATGATTTATGATTTATTATGAATGATTTTCATGTCCTTTTTTTCCGAATGGATGATTTGGATTGGGGTGTTCCCAGGTTCGTGCTTTTGTGACATTTCCTCAAGCATGAAGAGATACGCAATGAGAGTGTCAATAATGTCAATGAATTGAAAGATCTTTCATGTCAACTGAGCACAGATTCTTGAACATGGCATTTTCAACATGCCAGGATTTCTTTGACGACAACTTCTGGACTGACCTGGACCCGAAGCTGTGTCTCTTCGCTGCGTTGAGCATAAATGTTGTGACTGTAGCCAGGCGACACTAAGTAGCTGACAGGCTGATTTCTTGTTGCATCCTGCAGGATCTCTGCTGGAATGCTCTTGACAACGTCGTGGCACGAAAGTGCCTCGACAGACTTATCGTGAATGAAGTACTGAAGTACAGTGGTGAATGAAGCAGCGTCACGCAGCGAATTACGGCATCATTTGTGGCTTTTGCTTTTGTTCAGCTTGTTCTGTATGGGGTTTATGCGAAAACGGGATTCCGCTGACCCCAATGTTTTTTCACTAATTAATCATATTTTCCCCATATTTTCTCTTATATAAAACGGCATTTTGAAGTATACTTTGTTTGGGTATATATCGGTAGCAGTTTTTTTCCAGTTTTTGACACCCTTTTTGACACCCATATCCTTGATCCAAGGTACACTGACAAGTGCTGCCTTTGGTACGGTCGAGGGCTCGATCATGTGACCTGATGTGACCGAACACCTCTGGGAGCACTCTGGCAATCATGTCCCTTATTAATAAAATGGTAAAACAGGGGGGCTAGGACAGTTTATGTTACTATGTTGACTCTAATGGTGTTTGGGGAGTTTTCAGGAGAATTTTGCAATTTTGCCCCGATCTTTCACTGTCATTGCTTGGTTCGGATGAGGGGGTTAATTGTTGTTGCTGTTAGGGTTTCTATGCTTTCCATTTTCCTATTCCATCCAGCCAATGTTCAATTATCCTGACTTGATTTGTGATAGATCTATTTGCATTCAGTTCATCCATTGCAAAAGCTAGAATAGTTTTAATTATACACATGGCATTGAATTCGTTGAGTTCCTTACCACAATCAATGATTATCTTTTTATCCGTCAGGTTTTCATACATTCTTTTAATTATGCCAAAACTAGCGAATGAAAAGATTACCATTGCATTTATTCCTTGGTCTTCCTTCAACTTATCAACTACTTTAAACTTTAAACCATAACTTGTTTCCTTCCTCATCATCAGGTGAAGGCGTAGGATGACATTTGACAAAGTCTCTAATCTCTTCATCCTCCTTTTCTATATGTTTTCTTTCCCAGTCATGTCCTTACTTTCACTACCAAAACCGGCATATACACCAATATTTTTCTACATCCAAAGTGTAAATTTTTGCTCTGGGCATTTTCTCTTACTATTCATAGTGATCTTGTCTTCAAGTAATTTGTTATCTCTTTCAGTTTTCGGATTCAGGTTGGTTTTCATTTTCCCTGTCCTCCTCTTCCAGTTCTTTTATCGTATCTATTTCATCCAGTCCTTCATTAGGGTCTTGTCCATTGGCAAGGTTTCTTAACCTCTCAAAATCCTTCACTTTTTGTCTTTCGTTGGGTAGGAGGGTTCTGAGATTTTCCTTTGACTCCGTTAGGTCAAAGTATGTGTCTTACTCTTCATAGTTCATAAACTTTGCCATTCGTTTCTTTTCCATCTCAATAAGTTTGTTTTCCATATATTGGAATTTCATTTGTTTTTTGGAGCACTTCCCACAAACATTCACGAAGGTTTTGAGCAAGTAGTTCCAGTTGGGTTTGTTCCACACATTGTTCAAGTTACATTTACATTCACTCATTATACGACATCCACAGTCAAATTTAGTCATCTTACTCTCTTACTATATTATAAGATATTTTTTCTCTAAGTGTTTATTATTCAGTCTTCTGTTTCGCTTGCAGTTTCTATTTCTGTGCCATCCCTCCAAACAACCGTATTCCTACATCGTCATCATCATCACCATACCTCAATGATTATAAACCTGTTCTTTTCCCACCCAATTATCGTACCCAACTTTGTATATGTGTGATACTCACAAAGTGGAAGTGTCCTCAACCTTCCATACCGCTGAATCCATCTCTTGAAACGGCGGACTGCTTTTCCGAAGCGTGTCACAACTTTTATCTTCATCATCACAGGGTCTCCCATTTGAAAGACAAAATATTCGCTTGTATATCTTGTATGCCACCGGGTAGTTCTTTGATTTTATCCATCTCTTACTATCATAAGTCCCTACTTCTTTATATAAATTTGTTGATTCACTGTTTTTTTTAAATATTGTTGTTAATTCTAATACTAGTTATAGTATATGGCAAGGATATTATCAAGAGATGACATCGTAAGCAATGTCTGTTACAATCTTGAAGCAAGCTTCGGCTCAATCAATGAGACCCTCAAGAAAGCGAAGGAACATGACCCAACCATCAACAGGGTGGATGTGGAAAACTTGATGAGGAAACAACCCAACAAACAGATTCGAAAATACAGAGGTTCAAACTCCTACACCGCTTCTGCAGTGGAAGAATTTTGGTCTGTCCCGATCCATGAAATATTTTTTACGGACTTTTTGTAAGGTACACTGACAGGTACAGCCAAAAAACAGTCAATGGTATTTCAAAGCAACTCAGGTGCAGCGTCGAAAGAGTGAACTGACCATTGAGAGTATCGGTCAAAAATTCAGACCCAAAAAAAACCACCGATGTATACTCCGATTTTTTAAAGTGAACTGTTGACTAATTCATATATTTCATGATCAAAAGTGAATGCCAAATACAAAATGGATCAAAATGGGGTATCCGTAAAAATCAATGCATTGGACTGCAGGGCCTGATAAAAACGTTGGGATCGAAACTCACCGGTTCCGCCGGTTCCGTAAAACAACATCCAGGTGCAAATGTTGAACGACATTGACCGGCGCTGTCCAAGGGGTCAGGAAGTTTACAGGAAACATCAGGACGCACACATAGTTGATGGTAACGTTGGTTTCCAACCCAAGGACCACGGAAGTCTCACATAGTGACATAGATTTTTCAGTGCAGTTGTGAAACCATCCGAGAACAGACAATCTTCCACTTGCATGTGGCACGCTTGAGCTCGTCTGAGGACAATCAACTTGCGGGACTACTTTGAGAATCATGGACAGTCATGTTCATTAAAGCCAATGTCCCAAAGAACCGCCACCCAAACATAGACTATTTAAAGGGGATGTATTGAAAAAAGACAGGGCCCCAAACGAGAAGCTTGTGAGACATAAACGCTTTACCGATCTTTCCATACATGATGTTCGGCTAAAAAATCCATGCTGCTTTGACTTGGCTGAATGAAGAACAACGCTATGCAAATCATTGTGTCCATGAACAAAGGCCTTTTAGAAGTCACAATCTTTTCTTGTTCTGTTTGGGATAGCCAACGATTTCATCAATCTACCTATATATATATATCATTATATATATATATATATCATATATCTATAATATAATATATTTACGATATATATATAAACTGTCCTAGCCCCCTCCGTTTTATTTTATTTTTCCCATTGTCTGATTTTCACGGAATTGGCGCTACATTCTTTCAGACCCCAAATCTCAGGTCTGCCTCTTCTTGAGTGGGGCTGCCCAGGGTCTTAAGATGTCGAGGATCAGAAATCACCTGGAAGGAAATTATATATAGCATATATATACTATATTAACCAATAGTATACCATAGTATACCCATATTAATATATATATAGTTTATATATATGACATTTCATTATGAAATGATTGGGTTGCGACATCTTGGCATATCTTGGCATTGTTTGGCATTCACTCAAGGTCTGGTACGCTGGGCACAAAGCAACGGTCTCAGCGGTGAGCACCTGCGAAGCGACATGGTTTTGTTATCGTTGCTGGCCAGGTGCAACAGCGACGTTTTTCTGCCTCATTTGACAAAAAGTGACAGCCCGAGTGCCGTGAGCCGCGTTGAAGAAGTGCTACCGATGGCTACCGATGGCTTGATGGTTCAACACTGACATTTCTGGCCCCTGGTTCTGACAAAGAGACCTGCTGGAGACGTCCGAGGCTACAATGATGGAATCGAGACCGATGCAAATGAGGCGCAAATCGCGATGTGTACCTTGCGATCTTTTCCTTATTTGCCCAGGCCTCAACAGCACAAACCAAAGATATGATGTCATGTTTTGCTGGACTCGGAAGACACACACACACACACATATATATAAATTATAAATAAACACACACACATATATATATATACACTGCAATATAATACTAATAGATTCCATTCATCCTGGAATGAAGTTTGGACATGATACTACCAGCTCAAAGATACGCTACACCAAGGCCGCTCCACTGCATTGAATTTGCAAAGCAGGCTCGCTGTTTGCAGATTGACGAAGCACAGCTCGAGTTTGGCTTTAGGCTGTACCACTGTGCGGCTGAGGCTTACTTCTCAGACTATATGGAGTTTGCTCCCCAGCAGTACGAGTCTTTCCGCAAGGCTGTGGGGGATGGTGTTGGCATAAGACCTGTCGTACTCAATGCAATGTAAACCCACAGGACCCTCCTGGATTCTTTGAGCAGCTGGATGCGATGAGCGAAGCGGAGCAGTTCAAAGCCCTGAAAATGATCAAAGGCCGCGGGGAACACGGCTGGATTTGCCATGAGCGATCTCATGGCCAAGCCCCCAACGATGGTTAGACATGGTTAGACATTTTATGGGCTTAAATCCGAACAGGTTTTCTCCGGTGAGCTAAAAGCACCCCTGACCGCCCTCACCATGAAGTTGTATTTTCCAAGAAGCAGCCAGCCATGACAGGTACTATGTGCTACACACCCATGGGGAATTTGTGTGACAGGTATCATTGAGCTTCAGCAAACGAGCCAGATTGACTTCGATGTATCCCTGGCTCAGCTTGGGATTGCTGCATAAATCGTATGCCTGTCTGAAGAACTTTTCTGCATTTCAACTCTACTCACAACGAATGCCAAACTACAGTAAACCATACAATTAAGACAAACTCAAAGCACTTGTAGGATTTTTAGAGCCCGCCTAAGTCTAAGTCGTTTGGGGTCCCAAGTGTAGATGCACGCAAAGACTTTCCAGGCTTGCATCCGTGCGGCCTTCAATCATTACTGCCACTACCTCAGTGACGAGGCAATGGTCCAATGGTCGAAAGCCACGGAGGCTCTCCTGGACTTCTTGGAACATTTTTAGTTAGGACAGACTTTCTTGGATGGTTGGTGGTTTTAATGGTTTTGTACTTTCATATTATCAATGATATATATATATGCATATAATTAGAGGTTATCCTGTTATCCACACATAATTATGTGTATATCATATCATATTATATCATTGTATACGTATGTACGCGCATGTTATGCACATCTTCTACACATAATATACACTTGCCATCCCAGATTATGAAACTGACAATTGACTACAAGACTTGAGGAAAGCACCCCATCTTCGAGATTTCTCGTTCAAACATGGTGAGGTCGGGACTTCATCATCTCGATCCGTGATTTGGTCTACAATTGCGCCTGGTAGCCAAGTAGCCAAGGGGAGTCCAGGTCTCTGGTGAACCTGGTGTGGATGGACTGGCATTTGCAACGCTGTGAAGGATGAGATCGAGAGAAGCACTGGCAAGCCACAAGCTCAGCCAATCGCTATTTAAGGTATTCTAAGGTCTGCTTCGTGAGTGTCCAACTTCTTGGATATTTTTCCATGTTTCTTTCAGAATCTTTTGTTTTCTTTCCCTGGCCTCTGGTGACCGGGCTGTGTTAACTCTATTTTTTTTTTTCCAGTGTGGCAACTGGAAACCATTGCAACTCGTGTGTGTTGTGTGAATCATGTACCAAGCTGGATCATGTTTAGGCCTTTCTGGACTGGTACCAAGCGCCGACCCGTGGAGGTGGGAAACCCTATTTGAGTGGCTTCAGAACCGTGGCCGTTTACCGTGGCCGGCGTGCTGCCATGGTGTGAGGCGAAGTGGGATTCAGCAAATCCTCCGGTTGAAGCCATGGAGTGCGCCGACATGTCATATGTCCCAGTCATGTAACAATGTGACCATAGAATCGACTTGAAAAAGGTACCTGTATGCCACTGCCAACTGCTATGCCTTTATGTGGAAGGTGCGTCAGAGCTGGTTCTTCTTTGTTGTGACTAGCTGCTGACTAGCTTTCTAGTTCATTCTCAAGTTAATTACTCCTCTGTGAAACCAGACATTTATAGAATTTTATAGATATTTTTCTTCCCCGCAGCCACCCACCCGTTGTCTTATTAAAGATTTATGCTTATGCGATAATTTCGTGTGGTGTTCCCCCTCTTCCATTGTGCAAGGTTCCTTTCGTTCGGAATCGTGCTGCCTTTCACCAGCGAGTAGTGGAGTTGGGACTTCAGGTGCAATTTTTCAGCGCAGAGGACTTGGCAATGCATCATGAGGACTTCGTACTTGGACATGAAACGTGTTTTTTTTTCAACCAGTAAGATGCCATTAATAATCATTAATACATGCTGCACTACCAGTGGAATACGCAGAAACCGGTGACTTTAACGATCGAAATCACATAATAGTATGCACGCGCTTCACAATGGCCTGTTGAAGTCGTTGTGTTGCACCAGCCATTGTTCACGGCAATTGCAAAGCTGTGCCAATGTACTCCGGAGAAGTGCTGGTTCAGGTGCCAGAGTGGTCGCCGCCCAGTGCGGGAAAGGTCGAGACAGAGGCAGATAGACGTGACTACTTTGTGCAGAGTTGCAGAGTGGTTGAGAAAGTGGTAAGCCCAATAATAACCTCCAATTCTGGTAGGTTTATCGTGCATTCCTGGTGATATTCTGGATAATTTACTGTTGGGTTTACCATATTTAGAACCGATAGATAAGGAGAAGTGACGTAAGAGGCAACACGTTTTTGTGATCTCCCAGGGTTTCAAACTAGGAAGTTGGTTGGCCAAATCTTCGGTCGGCGAGGAAGACGATGGTGAGAAAGTCGACCCTGCTGCCATTGAAGCCCTCAAGGCCTGGAGGTTGTAGGAATGTTCCAGATGTTCCAGAGTGTTTCCAGAGTGCCTTTTGCTAATCCCATTTTGGCAGCTGATGGCATGGCTTACAGCATACTATATACATCTATAATCATCTATATACCAATGGGAACTGCTTACCAACTGTTTACCATGTTCATTGTTAGATATTCAGGATGAATTCCCATGTTTTATTTGATGATATGAGCCCCGGTTGACCCATGGGACCCATGATGAGCCTTCACCACCATTCACCCCAGAGGGCGAGCTCTATGCTGTGAATCCTGCAGACCTGGCTGAGTGCGAGGCAGGCCGGGATTGAACCAACGAAACTTTCGAGACCTTTCTGACCCAACAGGACCCAGAGGATGTTTTCCCCCAGACATGTCATATGTTTTTCTTTTTGTACAAATATTAAGGTTCTACATGGCAAAAAGTTGGGCATAGCGAGCAAACATGGAATTTCAACCAACAGAAACAGGAATATCAATTTATATCACAAAAGCTAGCTTCTGCTAGCTGAAGTCCCTCTTGGTGTAGCAAGGTATTGGGGGGGGGCTGGGGCTGGAATCTCCAATCGCATGAAATTTCATAGTTAAACCGCGCCCCCCGGCTGGCTGGTTCGCAAGCAGTTGGGCCATGGCTCAATCCCCGCCGGGGACACCGTTGGCATGTCGCCACCGGCAGCACATTCGGCAGGATCCGCATCCTCAGCAGCATTGTGTTTTCATGCAAAGCTCCCTGCCAAGCTAGCTTTCGTCCCTCATGGCTGACTGGAAAATAACCTACTGTACTGGTACTCGTATATTGGATTTGCAAGTTGAACATATTGTGATTTTCCAGTACTAGGTTATAGTAGCAGACAGTATGTTTCTGAGATTGTTATGGAACGTGTGAAAGTTACCAGCCGCAATTTTAGGGCGCATGGTTAGTACTGTTGAGATTGCCAGAAAGCTTGGGCTTCACATTGGATTAACCATGTCCATTAGACACTGTTATACCATGTTATTCCATCACTGTTGATGGCTTATAGCCGATTATAGCATCAATATCATCCATTCAATGGGCTTCATTGAATCTCTGTGATCTGATTGCCTCATGCCACATCTGTTCAACCAGGCCCATGACTTTGAGAAGGATGACGACACCAACTTCCACATTGACTTCCTTACTGCGCAATGCCCAGCAAATCTTAAGATAATGAAAAGATACCAAAACAGTGTGGTGTATATAAGTGCATGATAGTGCATGTACTGTACACACGTGGATATAAATGATGTATATATTTAAATGATGCACATAATATATATATATATATATATTATATAGTATGTATGTAATGTATGCAATGTATGTATGCAATGTATGTATGTATGTATGTATGTATATATATATATAATATATAACGTGTATATATGTGAACACATCTATCCCGATATACATATGCACATACCATCTTCATACCATTTTGTACCCTGCGAGAAGTCACGACTCAAAGAGGATACATGACTGCACTTTGTGGAGCCGTTGACTCCCGAGGTCTCTACTAATTTGCGCGCCAGCAACTATGACATCAAACACACCGAAAGGTCAACGGTGAAAGTCACTGCTGGTCGCATCATCCCCGCACTGGTGGTTGCCTCTGCTGATTGCAGGACAGGATTGCTGCAGACCACAGAAAAAAAATGGTACCCTGAGGCAACGACCACTGCGATGATTTGCGGATTGGTGGATGTGGAATTCCTGAAGCTGGTCCTGGGGACCGGTTGACGCCGTGATTTCAATGCAGAAGCTTTGAATCCATTTGGGGATGGATCAAACCGATTATACCAATTTATGCCATGTTGTAGAATGAACATGCGTGACTGTTTTTGGTTTCACCGGGGCAGAGGGTTTTGACCCATAGCCATTTCAGTGCACTAAGCTGACAACTGATCCGTTTTCACGAGATCTGCAGGAAGCATCGGGAGGAAGGTGCCCTGGACAAATTCTACAATGCCAACATCAATCTCGCCACAGGTCTTCAGGTGCCATCAATGGCCATCGGGCGATTTTTCTTGGCACTGCATGGCAAACTGCAGAGAAACTCTGGATCCAGGCGATGAATCTTTTCAGACCGGAGCCAGCCATCGTTTTGAAAACAAAGTTGCCGGCTGGAAACCAAGTGACGCCAAGGCTGGCGAAACACAGCTTAGGATTCTCAGGATTTCAATGGGGGTTTCCTAAAATGAGGATACCCAAAACTGGATGGTTTATGAGTTTATGCCATGGAAAACCCATGAAAATCCAATTTTCATCAATGCATTGGAGGTACCCCCATGACTTAGGAAACCTCCCAATGAAGTCTGGACATTTCGTGCCTCGCCTCCACTTCTAAGGGCTCTGTAGCAGAATTCACCTCTTGGGACAAGGCAAATGGGCAGCTTTCGACGGGCCGTCTCTCTTCTCTAAATGGGGGGTTGTCCAAAAAGGAAGGAACTGTAGTGGACCTGGTACTGTACCCCCAAAATGGCAATTTCCATGTGACAAATTACATAATCTGATGATCACCCTTGGTAATTTTGCGTACACTATTTTTGAAATGAATCCAAGCCAAATTTGCAGGTGGAAATCCAGGGGGAGATCTCCTTGGAGGACCCAAACTGCTGGGTTTGGTGAGGGCTTCAAAGTCAACTCTGATCAAAGCTCCAAGTTAGAGCAGAATGCTCTAGATGTAAATTGCAAGATCTGCTCAAACAATTTCAAAAGGGAAGCATAGTTGCTAAATTCAACAAATCACCGAGCGTGGGTGGTAACCACGTCATTTGGAATGAATTGAATCAGTGAATCGGAAAAAATGTCTGCTTGTCGGGCTGTTGCATGCTGATTTTCAGCAGCGATGTGCCTGAAATGCAAGACATGATATGCTTGGAAAGACTGGGAGTCTTAGTCGATCTTAGGTACACTGTTGCTTCGCAGGAGCTGATCAAGCAATTGGAATCCAAATTGGGCGGTGAGCTCCAACGGTTATATCCCGTGGGCAATGACAAGGCCACCATGACATGCCCTACGGGGATTGGGGTCATGACATCTCGTGGCATTTTCCTTTGCTTATAATTCCTTTGGCTTCCGTCCAAACAAGAGCCTTCCATTTTTTTGGTCTTATCGTTTTACCGTTCTGTCTATGGTTCTATCTATCGTTCTATCTATCTATCTATCTACCTATCTGCCTACCTACAGTATCTACCTATATACCTATCTACCTACCTATCTACATATCTACCAACCTGCCTCTCTACCTATCTACCTATCTACCAATCTACGTATCTACCTATATATCTACCTATCTACCTATCTATCTACCTATCTATCTACCTATCTACCTATCCTACGATCCTATCCTGTCCTGTCGTGTCCCATCCTGTCCTGTCCTATCTATAGTATGAGAGCCGGGTTGGTGCCATCGCAGCCAGGTATCCATCTACACCCGTTCACAGGTCAAGATGCTGGACTGGAAGATTGAGCTGGAAGGTGGCAAGGCCACTGAAACAAAAGGGTTGTCTTCAAGTGGGATATATTTGGAAGTGTTCCACTGATACAGTGGGATATATTCAAGTTGTGGAAAACGGATTATTGTGCTTATAACAAATGGAGTGAGACCTGCGAGTTCACGATTTGAGTGTCTTGACATGTCTGCAGTGAAGATGCACACAACTTATGGATACTTATGGACTTATGGTGTGCACTTTCAAATGTTAAGTTCTTCTCTATAGGTCTAGAATTCTAAAACTGGCACCTAGTGGATGACCGATGTCGGCAACACGTGCCACGACAAGTGCTGGAGGCCACTATCGAGCCTGATGAGGTCTTCTCAACATGGCCTCAACTGAAGATGGCAGTCCGCGGCTAAGATTATAAACTGTTTGGTTTGTGATACGAACCGATTTTGGGCTTCCAGCACAGTAGAAAGACAGGAATCGGAAAGCGATCACTTTGAGAGCCTCACACTTTTTATACAATACTTGCATTGTGCCAACACTTTTCACCACTTAGCTATAATAGTCTATAATGTCACGCTGCCATCCACAGAGCAGTTAAGTTACAGCATTTTATACCTAGCTCACAGACCATGGTTTCTTCGAAACGCAACATGAAAGCAGTGATTTGGAATTGAGAGCAGCAGTGGCAGGGAAACTCCAGCCAGTCTAAATGGTCAAGACCAGAGCTGGGCAAACGCATTTCGTCCTGAGGTGCAGATGTTGGGAAGAGTTCCTGATGGTCCAGCACGGAAGAACTTTGAGAATCAGGTGCGTGCAAGCAGAGTTGCGTAGCATACGCGGCGGATAATGTGCCATCATGGCTGAATCATGCCCCGAAAAGCTGCCGAGCAATCACTCTTTTTGCTGATCTTCTAAAGCTCAGTTCGAGTTTTTCTTCTCATCAGAAGCAAAGCACGACTTTTTACACCATAGATCCAATAGCTTGTTACCCTGACAAGCAGCGTGAATACATCAGGTTCTATCTGCTGCTAAGTCATTGCAGGCGGGATTGCTTTGCTCCTTCCATATGCGAGCATTGAGGGAATTGGGCATTTCTACTTTCGAGCCAAGTAAGTTTGCATACCATGTTGCAGCATGGATGGGCAACCGATCAAGACCTGGATTTGGATCACATGCAAGGGGGTCAAAGACAACTTTCACAGCCGCTGCCAGAGCAACACCAGTGAGGCAAGAATCACTCTGGCATTGAGACACAGTGACAAGGGCAGCTGAGGATAAAGAATTACAGCCTTTGGTTCAACAAATCTGGAAAGTGACCACTACAGATCGTTCCACATCATCCCCTTCATTGGCAAGATTCAATATAGCACACGGCGAAATTTTTTGCGCCTGGGGTGCTTCGAAGGCCTATGTCAGCATGCTGCGGCCGTCTGACGCATGGACCTTGGATTACTCCAGAACTGCCAACAAAACATGGTCCTGGTGATGCGTATGTGAATTTCTCCAGACATGGTGGATACGTGATATACGTGGATACAGCAAAATTCTGCAACATGCAATTTCAATGGCGAACATGATTCAAACCCACTGGATTTTGCCCCATCTTCGGACACATCCAAGTAGGATGCAAAAGAACTGCCTATTCGTTGCCAGGAGGAGGCCGAAAAGCAAAAGTATTTCGATGCTGTGCTGCAGAAAAGGTGCCAATGATGCTCTTCGTCAAACGGTGAGATGAAGCACCAGTCGTGATATCGGGTCACTTCTGCACATGTAGCTTCGCTTTTTGAAACTCAACATGCTGCGCATGCTGCGCATGCTGCGCATGCTGTGCATGCTGTGCCCTGTCGCAGGAGCTATCTTTCTCTGCAGGCAAGGGACATTTGATGGAAATGGCCACATCAGAGATCATCACAGGGCATGTAGCTCAGGCAGACATGCTGACCGCCGAGGGTGAGGCACTCGACAGAGTTGACCTGTGCAGAGACATTCCTGAAAGATGGCGTGATCCTCTCAGAGAGTGAACCATAGTGAAGTAAAATCTGAGGCATAAGCTATATATCCATATATATCCATATATATCCTATCTAAGTTTTTTTCAATCTTTTGGAGCAAGGGCAGAATTGCAAGAACCACTATGCTTTGGGCTACAACGCCAGGACGCTGACCTGCCACTGATCAAGTACACCTTCCGGTGACCGGAATTCCCAGCGGCGAGATGAAAACAGAAGCCCCAACTCCCATCGGATGAAGGGAACCTTTGCCTTGGAAGCCCCCAGTATTGGGAGCAACATTCAAGTTTTCCTTGTATATAGATTTTCCCTTCAACCAATCTGGTGAGCAACGTTTGAGTGTGAATCAACTTTGGCCATCACATGGTGCTCATACATCAAGCATTTGTATGCAAAGCGGATTGAAGAATCGGACAGACTGAAGTTGCTCGGACAGACTGAAGTTGCTGAAGTCTGAAGTTCAATGAACACAATGAACTGAAGGTACTGAGCACAACCCTTTCATTTTTTTTTGGCGATGTTGTGACACCTAAATTGAAGTCCGTGAGGTGAGCTCGAAGATTACCATTCGGATATAGGTCTGCTTGAGTGCTTGGGCACGTTGGTACTGCAGACTTGGTCTTTGAGGTTTGCTTCAAATGGTGTCGCCGCAGACCGCTCAATGCCTGCAAATGCCTGCAACATTACGTCAAGAGCAGACAGGGTTGCACGACATGGCTGTTGCAGTTCTTGCCTTGAAACGTGACATACTGCAACAAGTTCCGCTATTTGAATACATCCTGCGCAAATGGATCGAAATTCCACTCTTCAATTTGCCACGGTGGCCTTTGTAAACGGATGCACAGACAGCCCTTTTTTAAAGATGGTGCATTTGCTCATGGAGAATCAGAAGTCACTGCTGTAGCATCCCAGCTGATGTTCTGCTTGGAGCATGTCCAAAAGGAAGGCCGATGGCGATGACGAGGCCAGTGGTTAATGTCTGCCTTCATTTCCATCTACAGTTGGGCAGCTTTTCGATGGTGAACAGATGGAAGCGATATAAAGAAAAGATACCAAAGAGGTATGTGGAAATTTCAAAAGTGGGTGTGCTGACAGGTGACATTGCCTCTGGGCAAAAAAGAGAAAAAACAGAAGAAAGACAAAAAAGCGAAGGACTTCTCTTTGGATCTCGTGGCCATGGCTATGAGGGATTATTTTGGATGTCTCCAATGATTTTGCCAACGATTGCAGGAGAAGAAGCAGGAAGCCAAGAAAGAAGATGGAGATACTAACAAGAGCAAAAAAGCGAAAAAGGACAAAAAGGACAAAAAGGACAAAAAGGAAAAGAAAGACAAGAAGGCTCCGTCACAGTAAGTGCGCATGTCGCTGTAGAGGTTAGTTTACGCTCGTACGACCTGGTTGCACTGACTTCAGAGTCTTCATCCTAGCCAGTATCAATGTCATACCTTGGTCAAGGTGTCTCAAATGCTTCTTCTCCAGACCTCACACCTGTCTAAACATTTGTGGCACATTCATCCTTGCAGCGGGCTATGATATCACTGTGCCAGGAAAAAAGTAAGGCTGATGATGATCCCTTTGGAGATGAACCCGACGATGGCCAGGCTTTCCACAAGATACACAAGCCTCGCAAGACATGAGTATCAGCACTGCATTTGCAAATTGATGATATTGAATGATATTGAATATTCACACCAATATTGATGATATATGATCATATAACATTGAATATTAAATTGATGATATTGAATGACATTGATGTGAATGTGATGTGAATGTCTTCCAGAGCCCTAGTGGGATCACGGTCCCAGATCTCCCATCTGACGAGGACGATGGATGGGTGAATCCGTTCGGGGATGACATGTCTGATGAGGAGTCGACTGCAGCGCCCAGCAGGTTCAAGCCTGAGTTGGTGAAACAATCTAAAAACAATTGTAAATATAACAATAATAGTAATGACAATAACAATGATTATATATTATTATTTGTGTAAAAGTAGATGTGGCATCGTCGCTTATTTGGACCTGTTTCTTGAACGATAACAGGCCTGCAGCGAAGCCAAAAGCAAAGGAGAAGAAGGACCGACTCCTCACTTGACCTGCCACGGATGCAGATTTCACAATTATGTGAGACTCTGCAGCAGCAGTTTTCTGATCCGTTTTGTTCCGAGATCTGAAGTGACTATGGCTCACAACCTACAGTTTAAGACCAATCCTGTTTCCACCTTCCAGGACAAAAAGGAGAAGCAAGTTGGGAAGACGAGCAAAGCGAAGGGCAAAAAAGCGAAGAATGCAGACGCAGAGGCAGAAGCCCTACTCGATGCTTTCGGTGAGGAGAACGAAGAGGATGGTGACGAAGTTCAAAAAGAGGCGGATACCACAGACGCTGCGGAGGCAGTGCCACCAAGCCAAACAGGTGATGATGATGCTCAGGACATGATGGCAGCAGGGATCGAATTTTTGCGCTTCAAAAATCAACAAATATCAAGGGATGTAAAGGCTGGAACCCACAGCTTCCATCATCAGCCATCATCAGCCCATCTAATTGTGTTTTCATTGGCGGTCTGGAGGCGTTATTCTTTGCCACGCGCAGGATGCAGGAAAAACGAAAGATCATGAGGCCTGACAGCTGTCATTTTCCATGTTGCCTTCGCAGAAGCCGCAAAACGGGCCTGAGTGAACCCGAGTGCCATGATCGCGTACGGCATATATGGTGAGGTCATCCATGCTGTTGATGGTCCATTTGAACGTACCCTTCCACAAAGTTCCATATTTCAACTTGAGTTTGTGGCACACAAAGAATGTATACAATGTGTATACGCTCTACTTAGAGAAACTTGATCCAGTCACTTGTGACAGTGGATGTGACTGTCCCAAACTGCTGCAGGATTTTTGGAACGAGATCGGTGAGGACTCCGAGGAGCCTCCACAGGAGAAAGCAGAGGTTCCAGTTCCTGCCTCGGAATTCAGCGAAGACAATGGCTTTCATCCGATGGTTTGGGGGTTGTCTCAGGATTTGGAACCCCCAAATGCACCCAAATGCTCAAAACCACACTCTAGTAGATCATTTTCCATATTTTGCATGACCATAAATTGGGGGTAAATCCCCCAAGCTGCTCCAAGGAACCGCAAGCAGTGCCTGAAGTCAATGGTACAGCGGGCACTGGCACTGAAGTCGCTGCAGACACTGCGCCAGAGATTCCGGTTGGTCCTGATCCTGCCCTGAAAGCCAAGGAGGTGCCCATTATTTCGATGCGTGTTGGAACAGGGACCATGTGGCTCGATGTCAAAGATGTCTAGTCATTCTAGTCACTTTCTCAGAAGAGTCGAAGTAGACTCAGAATGGGAGGGATACAGTTGATGCGAGAGATGATGTTTGAGGGCACCTGGAGACCCTGCGGTGTCAGGAGGAAGAGGCACAGGCAGAGACGGATCCTTTGCAACCTCGGGTTCTTCAACTCAGCCCTGAGGAGCGAGGGGAACACTGCAAGGCATTTAATTTGACGCGCCCGGCCGACCAGCCGCAGCCCGTGATCAATGTTATTTGGAACTCTGTGCTACTTTGGAGACTTTAGAGACGCCACATTGGTTTGTCCATTTCCCAATCTGGATGGTAAAGATCAGACAATCCGCAAAATGACACCAGAAAAACAAACTACCGAGAGTTCTACCTCATTCTGCCAACGTTGCAGGACAAAAAGATCTTGATGAGCAGTGGCCAAGAGCAGCTGTCTCTTCTGAAGCATTGTTGCGAGGCGGACATCGTGGTTGAGGACGACTCCGACTTTCCAGCATGGGGATGTCCTCCTGTTATGTTGCGAATGAAATCCGCAGTGAAGACACGGCGTTGCTGCTCACTAAACCAAGTATTCCAGAGGAGTAAGTAGAAGGTCTGATGATGGGAGAGGTAGCATGATGGTCGCTACATACATATACAATCATATATATAAATACACATTACTCTCCACACGAGATCTCCAGGCACCATGCCCATTGGTGAACTGACCAGCAGCGCGAAGGACAAGGAGCTGAAAATGAGCTCCGAGAGGCCCTTTGTGGCGCGAACTGCAGAGCTGGCTGCCAGGCAGCCTACGTGTGGTGATGATCTTGGAAGAGTTCTTCCAACTTGTAGACATTTTGATTCGGGAATTGATGATATTTGATGATCAACTATAGCATCCTGGGCTGATCCTGGGGTAAGTTTTTGGAGAAACCCAAGAATGGCAACTAATGTTGTTTGTTCTTTGAGTTACTGTATCAGATTTCTCAGAGCTACGGTTTGATAATCACGAAAGCAGCTGAAGTCCCTCTTGCTTTAGCAAGGTAGTGGGGATGGGGCTGGAATCTCCAATCGCATGAAACTTCATACTTAACTAGGCCAACTACCCCCCCCTCCCCCCGGCTGGCTGGTTCATTCGAGCAGTTTGGACGTGGTTAAATCCCCCCCGGGGACACCGTTGGCATGTCGCCACCGGCAGCAAATTCTGCAGCATCTGCATCCTCATTGTGTTTTCATGCCAAGCTCCCTGCCAAAGCTTTCGTCCCTTAGCCCTGGGCCTCAAGTAACTTCAGTTCTCACGGTTTGTAGCTTGCCGGTTCCGCCAGTGTCTGGGTCAAGGATTTCAATGTGCCGGGCCATGTCCGAATTCAATTCTACGGGCCTACTTGAGTCTTCCAGTCGTCCGACCGTTTGTAGAAGGAAGTGCAGTATCAAGTTTGGATGCGTTGTTTTTTGACATGAAAGCCGCTTTGCATGGAAGGAATTCCAAGGACTCATCCGCGCTAAGAAAAATGATGCTTTGCTTCCTGTTTGTTTGATGATCCCTGGGCACGCCAAAATCTTGTGACAAACCCATGATGTGTTGCTCCTGTTAGGGGGCTGCTTGCAAGCAACACGGGTGCTCCTGTTCTGCTTCGTGTGCTGCCAGTTGCCGAGGAGCAGGGACTTGTCATCCAGATGTTTTCTAGACAGATGCATCAGATGCGCAAACTTGGAAATGACCAATATTGCTTGTAACTTGGGAAGGTGCCAATTGAATCCAATTGATTATTATATAATCAACAACATTTTCCCAAGCATTGCAGATAATGCCAACACCGGATTAATAACCCCCCCCCAGAAGGTAGGGGGGGTATCTTCTGGCTAGTTTTCTTGACAACCCCTAAATAAACGCACCCTGAACCATAAAATTCTGAACCATAAAACTTTGGATATGGCTTACGTCAATTAGATCTTAATAGAATTCCATTGGATTTGTTAAAATCTCATGGATCAGAAAGGGGGGTGATTAATCAGGGGCGTGGTTATTATTAATGGGGGACATGGGCTCATGGGGGGTACCCTTTGGGAGCTATCCAAACTGATGATTTTCATAAAGATTTTAATTAGAAATCGATCATTTGGGGAATAGTTGTTTTTTGAAATTTTCAATGATCAACTTAAACCTTAAATATAACAATGATGATGAAAAAAAAGTAAAAAAGAATTGGAAATAAAAGGAATTGGAAATAAACATTGCTGGATAAAAAAAATGGTTTTCAGAATTGGTGGTTGATTAATCAGGGGTAGGCCAAAAATATTAATCATGGGGGACCACCTGTTTTTAAATTACCAAAAAAAATTGGGCAGTTGCTGTTGATTAATCGGGGGGGCATTATTAATCCTCACTTGGCATTAGGTGTAAAAAGATGGTGATCGATCAATTTTAATTTACATTAGTTCACATTAATTCACAACCACTGACATGAGTTGACATTAAATGAATACAGGTGGGGGAATCCCCATGAATTCACCATCTGTTTTCAAAAAACATGGCACCTTTCCTCGGCCAACGTCGCTAGGGGAATGGCATGGATGTGGCCGATCTGCCTGGCGCCTCGATGTTGGATGTGCCTGGCACAGGTGGTGTGGAGCCAAAGGACGGATCGCACGATGCAAAAACCATGGGATTTTTCGCGTTTGGGGCGGGTTGTTGGGACGTTTGTCCAGATTTTGGGGTGCCGTAAGCTATTTTGGGCACCCCTGAAATGGTCATGAACTTCGAAAATGACAAGCCATGACAAGCTTATATAAATGAAGAGTATAGGAGAGAGTCTACACGTAACAGACGCATGTACATATGGACCACTATCAATCTTCATGATGTATGTTGATACTGTTTAGAGATGTTTGGAGGTTTGTGGGAGAAAATCCTTTGTTGATACCTTTGTTTCAGAGACCAGTTGAGTTTTCGTTTCAGATCCACAGGAGCTCCGGCGATTTGGCAATGTGGTGGCAGCGTTCCTCCGAGCGAAGGCAGGTGCTTTTTTCCTGGGATCTCCTGGATCAATGAGGGATACTGGATACAATCTTTTTCATGAGGCTTGACATAGGCTTGACATATGGCAGTGTGTCAAAACCTTGTACCCCTGGTGAACATCAAAATAGCTGGTAAATGGATGGTCATTCCCCTCAAAATGGTATTAATAGGTATTGACCCATACCCATATGTTGAAATCACCAGTGATGCAAATTCTATGGATGCACCATGATAAATCCCTCTGAAATCCTCTGAACATCGACGGATTCAGCTTTAAGAAAGCTAGACAATCAACGATATCCAATCATCCACCGGTTGTGGGTTGATGACTTCCACCAGGACCAGGAATCTTTGAAGAGCCAAAAGCCAAGTATGACCTCAGTCCAAGCAGATCTCAGTAGACAGCCTGGCAGCTCAGCAGCTCTGAATTGTGATGAGACACCACAAGTCACCAAAGACGGATCAACATGCGTAGCTTGCAGCTTCGCAGGATGCTCGTCATTTGAAATTCTTGTTCGGACCTTCCTTTCATTTGGAGGTTGGATCTCTCCATTGGTCAGGCGCATGTGCTCTTAGGATGGCAGATGATGGGATAAACGGATAAATGTTTCAGAGATGGTAACGTGTGTTCAGGTATCTTTACATCATTAACGCAGTCTCTTCATACTCTGTGGATCTGTTTTCTTTGACTCGGGGCGTGAATCTTTGCCGAAGTCCAACCATTCCTCATCATTCCTCCGGTCGCAGGCTGTGGAAGTCCGCTACGACCATCAATGGTCAAGGACTCAAGTCTCAAGCATCAAACTTGGACGCGGAGGGATGACATTGTCCTCTTACTGCATTGTTTTGATAGTTCCTAATTATGTGTATAAATATATATACACATATACAGTATATATAATAATAATAATAATAATATATAATAATAATAATAATAATAATTAATAATAATAATAATGATAATAATAATGATAATAATAATGATAATAATAATAATAATTATATATATACACATACAATTATATATTATACAGAAATTAATCTCCATATGATATATGTTCCTGAGCCTCTTTGCCCGACCTTAGGTTCCATGCAACCGTTGTGAGCTTTACTGAGCATGGAACTGTGATGGCTGACTACTTCCGCGTTGATGGCAGCCTGCCCGATTGCGAAGGCGCAAGTTGAGTTTGGCGGGTTGACTCCTGTTGTGTTTGTTGGTAAGCAGCCAAGGACACAGACATCCCTGGACATTTTTTTTCCTAAATACATATCACACACACATATATATATAATATGTATATATACACATAACATGATCTTTGACAATCATTGATGACCTTTCTGGCCACTAATGTGCTTTTGTCAGTGAGAAGTGAATCACTCACTGAAACACCCGTTCCATGCTAGGAGGCGAAATTGAAGCTGGCGCGGTTGACGTCCGTGCAGAGAGCTCAGGGACCAAAGCATTTCGCTTTTCCATCGGATGTCTATGGATGTCTGATCCCAAGGATTCAGTGAATTTGGTCAAACTCATGTGTTGAGTTCTTTTGGGGATCGGGCCAAACTAGTGGCAAGGCAGCGCAAACGCCTCGGCCCAAGATTCGAGTTGACAGTGGCCAGGTGCTGAGACGGATTTCTATGTAGCAAGGTCATGGCCCTTTTGCACCAAACAATGGGGAATTCATGAGCCAAAAAGTTAACGATGTTTGATGATGTTTAGAGTCCGGACTTTTCTCCTGGAAACATGCAGGATTCACAGGCGAAATCCTGCGAATAGTATGGGTCAACTCAACTCCTGCATATTTTACTTTCCACATGCAGAGATGGACTGATCATTTGCCGCACCCAAGCGTGACCCATAGCCATAATCCATGTATTTCAAGCACATGATCCCGGGTGGTCTTTGAGGAAAGCTGATCTTGATTGGTGAACGGAAGGCTAGAATGTGTGCCAGGTGCGAATTCTGAGCGAAAACAGCACATGCAAACTGGTCATTTTCTCGCATAGTGAGAAGCTTGGATTACTTTGGATTGATGCTATCGCTGGATTCGGTGGATTCGGTGGATTCAAAGCGATAGCAACAAACTCTGAGAGATCCATGGGTCCTGGCGACGGCGACAGGCTACATGCTGCTGCACAGGCAGAGCGTCGCGCTGTGGCCACAGGCAGAGTCTCAGAAGAGTCCCAGAGTCGCTAAATGCCTTGCTAATCCGCCTCTAATCCGCATGTCCCACGGCTTCACATATTTCAAGTTTGGTTCATTGGCAGCTTTAGATCCACTCTAAGACTCTACGCATCGTTTTGTCTTCAAGGCTTGACACTGGACATTTCTGGACTCTGGTGAAACCTCCAACGACAGAGCCTTTTGTTGCTAGTGCAGCGCTCCTTGTACAGGCAATGCTAATCCTTTGTACAGACAGGGTGAGCAGACGATGGCAGAGGAGATGCTTGGCATGCCGGAGGCACGTCAAATCACTCGTGGCCGACGAGGCATTTGTGTCATCAAATGCCCACGGCAGCATGTCTTGATTTGACAACAACGCTATATAAGTCAGGAGTTCAAGACCGCAATCTAGTACATAGGCAGTACATAGGGTATAATTTCAGTCGGTGAGTGATATTCCGCAAGTGCGACCCTTTGAATTGTGATTGCCTGTCCAATGTGAGCGCCAGGATGGACAAGTTCCAGAGGAAGAGGATGCTTTGCTGAGTCAGTGTGGGTTGAGTTGTACCTTTGGGACGTTTGTGAGGTGTGTTCATCCCTGTTTCTGTACACCACTTTCTGTACTTAGTTAAGGATTCTAGCGATTCGCTGAGTCACCTTAGTCACCTGCTCGACTGTCGCGAATATGTTGCCCAAGACAGTCGACGCTTCAGCCTGTCCGGCACATTTTGGCACCAGGAGATGGGGGTCGCCGTGTGTTCTTTCGAACTGCCTCCAGAGACTGCAACCGGTCCTGGGCTGCAGCGCCTCAATCAGGCACAAACGGCGCTTGTAGAAATGCTGTTAGAATCAGCCTTCGCTGGGCCAGCTAGGCTTAGCCTTGGTTATTGGAATTTATTGGATACATGTACGGTTCAGAGTTTCAAGTTTCAATGATATTCAACTGCTAGCTACACATACTGCAAGACAGCTTCCTCTTCCAATGAACCTTGGCACATTGAGAGTGAACAAAAGCGATGGGAGGCAGCAAGTGTCACTGACACAGTACTGGAAGTGCTTCCAGGAGGCGTGGCGTTGCATGACCCGTTGACTTTAGATCTTGGAAGTCCAGTATGGGTCAAGGTCGTGAAACTTGGGCGCCCCGCAGAGTATGTTAGAATCGGAGGATTAAATAGATACTAGTAGAATCTAGTAGGAAGACATATTATTTTAAATTAGGATTCATTATATGATATATTAGGTTATATTATTATATATATATATTACACATATTAGCTACTCATACAACATAATGTTGAATACCAATCATGATCAAGAATTCTGTCCAAGTTGTTTTTTGGGGTTTTTACCGGAGGCCGAAAGGCAATCCTGTGCGGTGACTTTGAAGAGCGACAACGAGCCAGGGCGTTGTTGGAGCTTTTGCCCAAGGTTGGCTGAGAAGCGTTGTGCTATGTTGTGCTCAAAATGCGGCATGGCAATGGATTCAAAATTCGGCAGCAGTTTGAAGTTCAACATCTTCCAACATTTCCATAAATTTCCATAAATTTCCATAAATTTCCATGAATTTCCATGATTCCAGTCATTTGGAATCCATGGGATTGAAGAATTTGCTTGGCAATCCCAGCTTTCAGACCCATCGCCCCAACAGATGTGTAACAGGTCGGTCATTATGGTGACATCGCTTCCATTCCAATCGAACTTCAGGAGACCCTGACAACCGTGACAAACGTTCTGGCTTTGTTGTGAGATGGGATCCCAAAATGACCATTTTAATACAGATAAATCAGTGGGGTAATCAATTTTGACGCATTGAGGTATGAGAGACTCCCCAGAAAATTTCTCCAGAACTGGCAGGACTTGACTTCACACTTGCGAGTTCCAAATGCTGCTATGCAAGCTGTGCGAGAGAAGCAGAAGGACATCGAAATGGAGACGGGTACCTTGTCACACAAGCCTGAGGCAATCGTTAGAAAGTTTGTTTGAGCTGCGCAAATTGTGTGCTTAAAAAATCTTTGTCAAGCTGTGTCAGGGGGGGCGTGCCGAACTCGAGGCAGCTTGATGCTGTGGCTTCCTTCTGGCTCTGTGGCGCCAAACAGACAGACGGAGCACTTGATCCCCAATGGGGCATATGTCGAGGCGAGCCCATGGTAAACCACCTTGGGACCATGGGACCATGGGACACTTGTGATATCAGCTTGAACGGCAGAGGCTGTTGACGCCAGGCCCAATACCGTGGTGCCTGGCACAATGCCACTGTCGTGTACTCCTCTGAACAAAGCATACAAATCTCTTGGGAGTACGATGGGAGTCTGGATGAGGCACGTACAAAGCATACATGATGGGATGGACACAACATCGCAAACATATCAGACTAAGCACACCAAAGGTGCTGAGTCGTGAGCGTCGATTTCCTCATGGGCGATCATACCAACAAAACACATGTGTAAAATCTAGGCCGCAGCGTTGAGAACTTGGCATTTTGATGTCTTTGTCATACTTTCAGCTTATTTTCAGCTTAACTGCAGGTGGAACCAGATCAAGTCAGGGAAAAGGATACGAGCAACGCCGCTCGGGCTGCCTGGCTGAGGAGCCATCGTGTCATGGTGGTGCTGGGCCAAGAAAAACAGCGCCTGGAATGTTTGCTGCGTGTCATGGTTGCCTCCGAAAAGCCCTGTCCTGGGCTGTGGAGTAGCGACGATGCCTTGGAGGAGATGGAGATGTGATTCAGGGTGGGGGTTGTCCAAAAATGGGATATTCTTTAGAATGTTTGAGAATGTTTGAGATATTTTAAGATCCTTTATCATACTAAGACACTATGATGTTTTTTTTGGGTATGCCGCTATGCACCATTTTTGAACATGTCCAATATGATGTAACCTTTCATTATGATGATACATGATTCTATATGATTATGATTATGATGTAACCTTTCATCATTATGCAATCTTCCAACTATCCTGATTTTGTACCGCAAAATTGGGCTGCCATCATTTGTCTTTGGGAAGAGGCACAGCAGCTTGGGATTGCTATCATTGCTATCGACAATTCCAGGAGGCTCAGATCGAAGTCCTGGATGGTCACGATGAGACAGACTGCACATACAGTCTGGAGGCATCTTGGCGAAGCTGTGACGCTGCGAAGCTTTGGGTTTGTCCAAAATACCATCTGGTTATGTCAAAATAGCTATTGAAAATGGCCATAGAAATAGTGAGTTTTCCCATTAAAAATGGTGATTTTCCATAGCTATGTTAGTTTACCAGAGGGTAGCTGACAAGCCACTGGATGTTGGGAGTTGGGGGTACACGATTTTTGGACCCACAAAGCGGGACTTCGAAAGATCTTTTGGTCGTGGGGGTCAATGGGTCTGCCAGGGGTTGGAACTTTCCATTGCTCGTTGTCCATGTTCTTCCGTGTGAATTGATGAAATTGCGACTTCTCTTGAGATGCTTCCTGAGCAATTGGCTTGTAGGCTCAAATCTCCAGCTATTACTGGACAAATCCATGCTCCACTGATCCAATCTAGGTTACCACACCCACGTTTTTCATTGGTTCAGTCCCAATTTTGTTCCAGTCAAACGGTCAATTTTTCCCATGACTTTATATCCATTTCCTCCATTTTAACCCTGATGTTCTCATCAATTTATATAAATTTCCCTCATTTTTGCTGGTCAAATCCATTTCTTATTATGATTTTCAGAAGCATTATTCACCATTCATAGCCATCAATAACCCTTATTAGCCCATGATATTCCCATGATTTTTCAATGAAAATTCCCATGATATTCCCATGATATTCGCCCATTATTAGCCCATGATATTCCCATCAATAACCCTTCAATCCTTTTCCATCGCAGATCACTCCACTCGCCTCCCTGGACCTCGACAGCGCTTGGTTCGCCGGTCCTGGCTGCGTGGCCTTCGCTGCGGCGGAGCGCGCCATTCCCTGCGCCATGCAGATCTTGGGCGCCTTGGGCACCCCAAGGGGGGCCTGGGGAATGAAGAATTGGACATTTAATAAAGGGGTTACCCTCTGGTAAATAAACATAAACCCTGAAAATCACCAATTGTTAATGGAAACTAATCTTCCAACCCCTATCTGCCAGGGTCTATGTTAATTTACCAGAGGGTACTTAATAATACTCAATAGATCACTGGTAAAATGGATGGTTAAATTGATGTGGTTAAATGAATGGATAACAAATTGATAATGGATGAATAATGGTTGTCAATGGTTATTGGGTAGAACTAGGGAATTTTAACGCCCTATGAGTTGGGAAAATGGTGATTTAAACAGCAACAATGGGGATACTATGGAGATACATCGGGGGTATTAACCAACACTGGGCGTACAACCAGAAATCATGGGATGGGAGATGGGATTAAACGGGTCAAGGTTTTTTGACAAACCCAAGTTGGGTATTCAAATCCACCACGATATGGTCGTTTGAATAGGAACCATATGGGAACATGACAATTACTGGGGAAAATCATGAATGATGATACCCCTGGAAATAGGGAAAATGATGGCAAATCATTTTCTCATGAAATCTCATGAATGTATAACCAGATTGCAATTTTTGAGAGGGAAAATTATTGATTACCCAGCGGTAGAATGGGGTTCCCAGTTTTTGGACAAACCATTAAGACGGACCCATAATATATTACTGGTTGGTTAGCCTAGACGCGTGCTATTTTAAACCTTGGGACTGGGATGACGATCCCAACTGACTGATCCTGGCAGGTTGAAACCACCAAATAGCAAAACACGGGGTCCTTACATTTGGTCATGGACAGTGCACTGGCCACATTGGATCTCAACGCTACATGCTTTGTGGAAAGTTGCCCAAAAGACGATTTCGAAGTCCGAAAACGGAATCAGGATCTAAAGAAGGTTATCATAGGTTATCATAGGTTATCTTGATTTTACAATATGTCACAACATGTCACGTGACATGTCACAACATGTCACAACGATCTCGATGGCTTCAACGATGTAGAAGGGGATGGCTACGTTGGAGCACGCATTTGTCGCACGCCAGGCCGCAAGCTGATGCTCGCCGGCACCGAAGATGAGCGAAGCCATGCCAAGGCACTGGGATTTGGTGTCCGCAACATGTTCATGTTGTTTTTTGCTGGCAAAATGTGGCAAATGAAAAACTCACATTAAAGATTCATGATCTCAAAAATGCTTCCATCACAGGTTCATCATGAAATCTGAAACCGATATCAGTTGAGTCATGAAAGCCATGGCGCCAGGAGTATTTGTCCTGGGTGCAGCTCTCCAGGAAAGGCTTTGAGCATAGCACCGTGGGTCTCAGAGGAGGCAGCTGATGATCCGCTGAAGCGGAACCAAGCCATGGGGCTGTCTGAAAATGGAGAATGAACCCCCAACTTATGGCCAGTCTCAATCACTATCATGGGAAATTATGGGAAAATAGTGATAAACCATTGGAGTAGGATGATTAGGGGGTACCCTATTCTTGGACAAACCCAGATGCAAGGCCTTCAAGTTGGTTTTCACAAAGTAACCAGCTAAATCAACGAAGTGCGACCTTGTGCCATAGAAGAAAATGAGGACAAGAGTCCGGGGAGACTCGAGGTGTGTTGCTCCAAAACTTTTGGACGCTTGCGCAATAGGCAAAAAGGGCAAGGTGTGGCAATCCTCCTAGACTCCGGGCTTCTTTTGTCATGCTGCAGCAAAGACAGGTGGGCAGCTTGATGTCACAGATGCTGACATGAGAGACGACGTGCTTCCAGCACTTCTGCCAGAGGCTGGAGTCAACTGTTGCAATCACATGCAACCTTCGGTCATGCTGAGTCACTTTTTGGATCTTTTTGGCAAAATTTGGCCAGCAAATCTCGGATTTTGATTTTGGAAGTTCACGGGCTTCATAGAGAAATTGATGGCTTTGGGTTGCGGAGGATCAAGCTGTGTGGATCACGCTGGAACGCATTGCGGAGATCCAGCGAGAGACCAGGACTTTCTTGGTCTTTGACCAAGGCCTGGTTTCGGGAAAGTTTCAATGATGCAGAGTCTGCATAAATGGGACTGCCATGGGTTTGTTTCGGCAGAAGGCAACTTTTGGAAGCATCTAGAATCCAATGCTTGAACCAAAGTCAGCAGCATCAGGGATCTAGCAGAGCTTAGTCGTAGGAGTGCAAGCATGACACGATGTGTCCTCTGCAAAGAAGTCAAGATCGAGCATCATCCAATCCTGGCAAATTTGTCACCAACTTTGAGCCAAACAAAACAATTCCTTGCCAAGAGGTCTCAAGCTTTGCAATCAAATTGTATCAAATTACCTTAGTGTTTCTATGCGTCAAACTGTTTGTTTAGCAGACACATGTAGTGAATTGTAGTGGAATATGTGCTTTTCGGAGACGTTGGAGACTCGCTTGGCAGGCGGTGGATCCAGCCTGGAGACTGGCATGCGACGGCTGCTGGTCGCTGGCGGAGACGACGTGCGGAGAATGCAAGCGGCCGCCCGAGTGCGGGAGACACAAAGTGGCCTGCAGCAGGCCTGGGACGGGGAAAAGACACGTGACTTTTGTTTGAAGTTTTTTTTTTGGGGGATATCCAAAATAACCAAAATAATCTGATGGTTATGATTATTGTACTGTGATGATCATATTGGGCAATGAATTCACGAAACATGGACTTACATACCCCAAATTCAGGTTTGCCGTTTGTTCCAAACTGTGAACTATCCTTCGCAAACCCTCGTATAAAACCGAAATCTAGCTAGGCACTCCTGGCAGCTATCGAACTCAACTAGTACATGTACTGTATTTTTCACAAGGATTTGTCCAAGCACTGGATTGTTGCATAGCCGTCCTGGCAATCAACGTTCTTCGCTCTTCGCTCGTGTCAACAAGTTTGAAACGGTCCACCCTTCCCCCCTCAACGCTTTTTCTTGCAGGTGTCTCAGCTGGAGACTCAGATAGAAACGTGGCATCAACTGCTTGGAACGCTGTGTGGATTGGCGACATGTTCTGTAGGAAATACCGCACCCCACTTTCGCTGCCACCATAAAACGGGATCAGGCCGCGATCCGACCCCTTGGCGGTACTGAGCACAATGTCCTGGCCACAGAACATCAATGAATGGGGCAGGCTCGATGAAAACCTTGAGACAAAGGCAACGAGCCCAAGCTTGGTGCCTGAGTGGAGACTTTGCAATCATCTTGAAATGCCAGTCCGATTCAGAAGCTTCCCCACACCTCCGCAGCAACCAAACAAATAGCTTGATTAAGCTTGATTGTTTCTATCCTTGAAGATTTCTAATCCCCGCCTCCAACCCCTAGTCCGAAATACACTTGAATTCACCTCATGAGCGCAGGTTGGATCCAAGAGTCGTGACTCCTTAGTGGATGATTCTATGTTAAAAATGTTAAACAACAACTTTGCCTCAAGATCAAGTGATGAGAATGAGGGATGATAGTGACGACCTCGACAGGATGATCAGCTTCCACTCTTTTGGAACCACACAATATGCCACCCCTTTGGGGTGGCCCGGTGCTCTGGTCACAGGTTGCAGAAAACTATTTGGGCTGGGCATCCCAAGCTCAAGCCCGGCTGGATTCGAATCATGTCCAAAACCAAGCAGCAGGAGTTGGAATCTCAGATTATGCAGTAACTCTGTAGCCACAATTCACCATTCAACAAACATTAATAAACAATAGAGCAAACAATATCCAACATTGTTTGCTTGAGTTTTTTGCTTGCCACTTCATGGATTTGTTTTCCATCACCCAGACATACTCAGACAGAGCAAAATTCAGAGTGTCACATGAATATGAGGCTCCCGTGCCTCTAAGGTATTACATGAGAGTTGCAGACAAGCAAAGCACCTTTGACCTCAATCAAGTTATTCTGACTTGACTGATGGATCCTGCTGGCGGATTTCCACTGCTGTGGCAAAGATGCTGCGAGAGATGGGGGGAATTCCGGGAACTCTTCATCACAATTCTCTACATGCAACATGTGAAGAGTCAAATTCAAGTTTTTCGATCAAGGTGCATTTGCAATCAATTTTTTCTGGCACTTGTAGAATTACATTGGAAACTATATATATAACATTTGCGAGTTTCTAAGCAGAATATGCTTCCCTGCTGCAACCCTTTGCTTCTCATGTTTTGAATTGCTGAACCTGCCGCATGCACGCACCACTGGCTAGTCAGAAACCTGCTGAGGTAATATCAGATGTATCTCAAATCCAGCAGGTTTTCCCAACAAGCGCTGAATGTATTTAGCTTTCCTCCAAATTACTTGCGAGTGCAGTCTTTCTGGAGCGCCGTGCAAGCTTGAACATTGCTGCCAGCCACAGAAGTCAACAAGCTCTAAGTATGAATATTCAGTTCGCCAAATCGAACAAAGCAGCACATTCATCAAAGCATTTGATGGGCTGCTTATGGAGTTGGCTCAGTTGGCTCTACCTTCTGGCGGCAAACGAGGTGCTCGGTACCGCAGCGATGTTCACTTGGTTTCTTAGGACCTTAGGAGCCTGCGAGGCGATGTGATAGATGTGATATGCACAAAGATATGGAAAGATAAACTGAAGGATACTGAAGCTTCTGTGTGGTCGAAAAAGTTCAGGTTCCACTTAGGGAATGCCCAAAGGAGATGTGCCGTGACAGGGGAGCGAAAAAGGCCAAATGCTGCCACATTGGACGCGGCAAAGCAAGTGGAGGAATACATCAAGGCCGTGTGAAGTCACGCGAGCTGATGCTGCAAACGCTGAAAGGGTGTGAGAATGTCAGGCCATTTGTGGCCTTGTAATGCACATACAATTACAATCTAAATTGTAAAAAAATATAATGATATTGTATAATTCCTTCAAGTAGTATGTGAATGAAATCATATATATATATACATTATATATATATATGTTCACAAAGTGACTGATAGCAAGCTTCTGTTGAGGTCAATCCCTGATTAACCAAGCTGATGGTGGATGTCCCTGAATCCAGTTGTACCAAAAGGTCCCTGACCTATGAGATGATGATAAACACCGCCCTGCAGTTAACAAAAGGATGCCGCTCCTTTTCCACTAGCTCTCGAAGCGCGAAATCCCTACCCTCCAACTGGCTGGCACTGAGCCTCCCCTCGGCTGCGAAGGATAAGGTTGCTTCCTGCTTCATCGGGAATATTGGAACATCTTGAACAGGCTGAATTTGAAAATATGTATGTATATATATATAAATATATTGTATCTAATCTATCTATCTATCGATCGACCCATCCATCCATCCATCCGTCCATCCATCCATCTATCCATGCATCCATACATCCATATATATATATAATTATATGAGGGAATATATATATATTTCTATATATATATATATAAATAAAAATAAATACAAATAGAAATGTAAATAAACATATAAGTATAAAAATAAATATAAATATAAATATAAATATAAATAAATAAATACATAATAAATACATAAATAAATAAATAAATAAATATATATATATATACATACATGACATGTATTGTAGTTTAAAGGTGATTCTTTTTCCCTTCCACCCTCCCGCATGTTGAATCGGAAGGTCTCCAAGGAAACCAGCTCCACGGCCTACGAGTTGGCGTGCATCGCACAAGACCTGGGCTCCCTGTGGTCCAACAAGTGCCACCGCGGCAGAGGTTTGGGAGGGTTCCAACAGGATCAACACACACACACATATATATATATATATACTATGAATATATCATGACCAGGATCATCTACATCAATATACTGTAGATGTACCTAATATTGATTCTAATCTGGAGTATATAGAACATTGTATATCCTGATTTCTGTGTCCTATTGACATGTATTGGCAACCCGGCAGGCTTGTAAAAAGGCTGATTACAAGGTGAAACGCTCACTTGCACCATCTAGCCTCATCTGGCCTGATCAGCTTGCTGTTTGCATTCCATATGGTTTTCTTGGAGCCTTGCATCCATCTATCTATCTATCTATCTTATTTTAACTTAATCTTATCTTTATTGCCTTTATCTTGATCTTATCATATCTACCTATGGGTATGGGCCGGAACAAAAGACTTATGGGGCGAGAGATTTTGGCAATTTTTGAAATTTATATACAAATTTATATACATATTAATATACATATATATATATACACATATATATACACATATGTGTATATATATATTTGGAGGTATGTAATGTCTGTCTGTCTGTATGTATGTATGTATGTATATACGTATGTACGTATGTACGTATGTACGTATGTACGTATGTACGTATGTACGTATGTACGTATGTACGTATGTACGTATGTACGTATGTACGTATGTACGTATGTACGTATGTACGTATGTATGTATGTATGTATGTATGTATGTATGTATGTATGTATGTATGTATGTATGTATGTATGTATGTATGTATGTATGTATGTATGTATGTAATGTATGTAATGTATGTAATGTATGTAATGTATGTAATGTAAGTGTATGTAATGTATGTAATGTATGTAGTGTATGTAATGTATGTAATGTATGTATGTATGTATGTATGTAATGTATGTAATGTATGTAATGTATGTAATGTATGTAATGTATGTAATGTATGTAACGTATGTAACGTATGTAACGTATGTAACGTATGTAACGTATGTAACGTATGTAACGTATGTAGTGTATGTAGTGTATGTAATGTATGTAATGTATGTAACGTCTGTAACGTATGTAGTGTATGTAACGTATGTAGTGTATGTAATGTATGTAATGTAATGTAATGTAATGTAATGTAATGTAATGTATGTATGTATGTATGTATGTATGTATGTATGTATGTTATGTATGTAATGTATGTAATGTATGTAATGTATGTAATGTATGTAATGTATGTAATGTATGTAATGTATGTAATGTATGGTATGGTATGGTATGTATGGTATGGTATGGTATGTATGGTATGGTATGGTATGGTATGGTATGGTATGGTATGGTATGTAATGGTATGTAATGTATGTAATGTATGTAATGTATGTAATGTATGTAATGTATGTAATGTATGTAATGTATGTAATGTATGGTAATGTATGGTATGGTATGGTATGGTATGGTATGTATGTATGTATGTATGTAATGTATGTAATGTATGTAATGTATGTATGTATGTATGTAATGTATGTATGTAATGTATGTATGTAATGTATGTATGTAATGTATGTATGTAATGTATGTATGTGTGTACGTATGTATGTACGTATGTATGTACGTACGTATTTATGTATGTATGTATGTATGTATGTATATTTTATATATAGTGAATAGTTCAGTATCAACTCAACCATAGCATTTTTGGGGCACCCAATTCGGACCCGTTGTATCATCGCAGCCTCCCTGTCCGTTCCAGGTACAATGATGATAAGAGTCTAGCAGCAGATCTGTGCCTTGTCTTGGGAACTGATTGTGAAATACTGATGCCAAGACTGAACAGTTCGTCCTACTTCATGTGAACACCAGGCTGATTGAGCAGATTGTCGGAGACAGGCCAGCTGTCATCAGCATTCCATATGAAGCAGAGCTTCACTTCTTGTGATTCTTGTGCGCAGCAAGCAGAACCACAAAGCTTAGTCGTCCACCGTGCCAGATGCAATGGGTTCTGACGTGATCGTCATTGAGTTTGCTTCAATTGAAGTACACCTACTGATTTGTTGGCAATTCAGTTTGCTTCTTGGGGCAACTGAGTTGTTCTAAGCACATGCACGGCATTGCTGCAGGATACCGTTCACCTTTGGCAAGCGAGGTTCAGACACGATTCCTTCAGGCGGTGCGGTGAGAAATGTTCAGCTTCAAAGGTTGAAATGCTGGGAGCAGGTAGCTTGGACTAGACTCGTGATATCAGTGATATTTGATCCGAATTAATCGCTTGGTTTTAAGTTTCAAGTCACCACAAGCGAATGCTGAATGATAGTAGATCATTCGCTCATATTCGCTCGATCGCCAGGACTGCAAGCTTTGGGCCAATTCTTGTCTGAGGACAGGGATCAAAACTGCGCAGAGGTTCCTACAGGCTGAGTACAGGTAATGTATCTGAGTTCTTGGAATGTGCGGTGCGCAGGACCCACGCCACTATGGTGTTCGATTGTCAGCTCTCTATACCGGCGGAAACTACATCCAGGACTGTTTACCGGCTAATTAGACTGGAGCAGGAGTTCTGAATTGGTACATGTATATAGTTAAAGTGCTTCTGAGTAGCTGATACAATGCCTAGAACATTACAACCAGAACCAAAGCCTCTACAACACCTGTGAGACCTCACTTAATTGATGAATGAAACAGTGAAACTGTGTGAAACTGGAAAGGTGTGTTTCGATGCCACGATCTGCCAGGAGCGTGGTGAACGCAACAAAACAGCCAAAGCCAACACAGACGTTGAAATGGACAGCGAGGACAGAAGAATTTTAACCGAAGACCACTCGATTCAGCTTCCAGCCTGGCAGCCTAGACTTAGACCACAGATTCAGCGTGTATCCCTCCAGGACTCATCTTCTTCAGACTTTGAATCAGCTAAAAGCTCGTCCAGCGATCAATCTGTCAGGAACCTCAGAACCGACTCATCTTTTGGATTCTTCTGGCATTTTTTTTAAATCTATATACTTTTTTAATGACCTTGCAGACATAAGATACCGAAAATACCGAAGCCCCCAGGTGCATCGAAACAAATTTCATCCATGTCCGCCATGATCCATCAAGGCACAGCGGACTTGCAACGCTCAGGTGAACAGTGTGAGCAGTGAAGAGATCGCCAACTTTGATGCGCAGAAATGGCATCGAGAAGTTGATGCTCTGCTAGCAGAGATTCAGAGCAAGGACTGCCTGATCTATTTTATTGTGGAATATTGTGGAATCGAACCGAGCATCTTTGAGCTATTTGAAGAACCAAAAGAGCAACTCAGTCTTTTGGTTGCGGACTTTGTGTGACATTTCAAAAACATAAAATGTATACGTAGACGAGTTGGGAGCACTAGTATGAAAGAATCGTCAGCAGGGTTTTCTTTTTGACGCACACTCGCAGAAAGAATGGGAGACGATGGCGGCACTTCGAGAAATGCCCCTTACACCAAATCAAGATCAAGCCCAGTAAACTATCATCAACAATCTGGAAGGAAACTTAAGAGTTTGCTGGCACTTTGAAACCCTACGGCTTCTTGCTATACGTGCAGGGGAGTTCAATTGCCGCGGATTCGCCCAGGTACATCTTCAAGGATTCCGAGCGGGCAGCAGACATTGTGCATGTGGAGGCACGGCCACGGCGGCCACGCAGGTCTTGGCAATTTGCAGTTGATGGGTCAAAATTTAAGGCCGTAGGCACCACATGGCACTGGGCATTTTTTTTGGCTTGGTTTTGGAGGAGCCAATTTGGACCCATATCTAGTTCTTGTTTGGCCGATGTTTCTGGTAGGACGCCATATGCACTGCCTGCTAGGCTTTAGCTGAATTGAACGATGGAGAACTTCGAGGATTTGACAAGACCCGCGAGGAATTGGATACGCAGGTGTGACATGCGAGTGCCACACACGATTCTGATTGATTCTGCATTAAACCTGCTTGGGAACTTGCTCTTTGATTCAGCTGCTCCGTACTTTGCTAGTTCGAAAGAAGCGCACGAAAGGTGACACTGATGGCACCACCTTTCAAGAGCATTTGTAGCTCGATTTTGTGTAGGTTGAGACATGTTGAGACATGTTAAGACCCTTTTTGACTGACCTTCTGTCCCATGGAAAGTAATACAACATCTTGGGGTCAGGTAATGAATTGATCAATTTCGAAACCCATCAAACCATCCACCTAGCCAGTACCGCACGCATAAGGGATGTTACAAAATATATGGGAGCCCCAAAATCCACCATCTCATTTTTGATTCCTCAAGTGTTCAGTTGTGATCCAGGTCATGTTCCCGACCAAAACAGGTAATCCTTCCAAATTTCGGGACATACCAGAATCACTCTGAACTCTGACAAAGAACTGGCTTGAAGATCTTGAGGTAACAGTTCCAGGAACCCCCTGTTGGGGGTAACTGATACTAATTTATGACATATGTATATATATATATGTACAGTATATTTTTCGCGTAAATCAATCCAACCTGAAGTATCCTGAAATCATGAGCTCAGAAGCGCATTTGCTTGACTGCTGCCAGTTTTACTTTCTGGATCCGCGGGCCCCAATGAAACCAATGGAACACCGGCCGAAACCAAACAGCAATCTTTGCAAAAGAGTCACCACCGTTCAAATCTTGGGGGATCCACAGCCACCAGCCAAGTTCAGCCACACAATTCACATAGTTCACCCTCTTCTCCCTTCATATCATCTTTTTCCCTAGTCGCCATGGCTCCCAAAGAGTCCTTCTCAGCCAAACAGCTGCGCTTGAAGCAGCAGCAAGAGGCTGAGGAAGATGAAGCCACTGCCGAACGGATCGAACGCGAAATGGCCGAGGAGATCAATGCGCAAGCAGAGCAGAACGCCTTCCGGAGCCTGGGGATGGATGGCCAGGATGGTAGTTTTCCATTTTGTTTGTCGATCATTTTCCGTCCATGGGATGATCATGATGATCCAACAACTTGACCACTTTTGAAGTTGTTTGAAACTAGTTTTTCTTGACTAATAACGACTAATAGAATCTAGTAGATATAGAATGATATAGACTGATGTAGATGGGTGAACAGCATATCTTTAGGGGGAGCCACCAAGGATACCTGCCTGGGTCAACATTGCTGGAGCTTTGCTGGGCGTGTTGCAGCTGAGCTATCGAATCGAACAAGAACGGGAGCGGCGCGCAGATGATTATTTTGCGAACCCCAGACCTGAGATCTATTCCGTCGTTGCGTCCATGTCCTTCGAAGTCGGAGTGGCGTTTCTGATTGCTATCAATTGTGTTCTCCTGGGCTGGCAAGCGTCCTTGCCGGAGAACGAGAATGCACTTCTGTTTGACATTTGCGAACACATTTTTGTCACAATTTTCTTGATAGAGTGGTGCATGCGAGTCATTGCCTTTGGCTGGGTGTGGATCTTTGAATTTTCCAATGCGGCGGACACCGTGATGGCATCCAGACTGCACAGCACAGCTTTGTTTTATTAATGAATTATATGGGCTTGGCTCCAAATTCTTTTTCCGAAGAGGAGGGTAAATATGCGCATTGACTGACCCATTTTCATATGTAGATCGACACCCCGCCCCTTTCAATCCAAGCGCATCGTAGATTGTGGGGAAAGAGAGGCTGCAGTACCTACAGTGGCTTTCCCCTTTCAACGGAGACAACTTATTTTGGTGTAGCATCTTGTTTCCGCGGTGTGAGCTTGATTCTTTTCCTCTCGACCGGTCCTTTGACCAATGGGAGACTTGCAATCGAGGTCTTTATCTTTGGCGTGTTTCCAAAATGGGTCCTGGACCCTTTAGGCATCAATGCAACATTCATCCGCGTTTTTACTGTAATGAGAGCCCTGCGACTGGCCAGATTAGCACGTGCTGTGCGGCTAAAGCCGGCGTTCAAGGAGCAAGGGTTGGCTTTATATAATTAGTTTACCATTAGTTTCTGCATGTTTCTGCATTGACAACCGTATATTCGAACCCCCATTGAAGAAGCATGGGTGTAGCAGATGTTCCCCGAAAACTAAGTTAGACAGTTTCATCCGCAGTTCCGTTCCTGGTGCCTTTTGCCAAGATGTGAAGAAGAGGTTTTGTGATGTCAGAAGACATGTTTGGGCTATCGGCTATCAACACCGTTGTTGCTGCTGCTGCTGCTGCTTCTGCTTCTGCCGCTGTTGCTGATAGTGATGATGCTGGTGTTGGTGTTGGTGTTGGTGGTGTTGTTGTTGTTGTTGTTGTTGTTGTTGTTGTTGTTGTTGTTGTTGTTGTTGTTGTTGTTGTTGTTGTTGTTGTTGTTGTTGTTGTTGTTGTTGTTGTTGGTGTTGTTGGTGTTGTTGGTGTTGTTGTTGTTGCGGTTGCCGTTGCCGTTGCCGTTGTTGTTGTTGTTGTTGTTGTTGTTGTTGTTGTTGTTGTTGCTGTTGCTGTTGCTGTTGCTGTTGTTGTTGTTGCTGCTGTTGTTGTTGTTGTTCTTGATGTTGTTGATGATCATTATTATCATGATTATCATGACAGTGATCATGATGGTGATCATGACCATACAGAATGAACTTCCTGCCCCAGTAGTCATTGTCCACCGATCGCGAGGAGCTGTGGATTCTAATCCATGGATTGACGACCTCATTCCGACCGTTGATGTGGACAATTTTAATTGCAACCATCGTGTTGTACTTGGGAGGTTTAGCAGCAACTGAGATCATAGGCAAGAGTGAATTGTTTCTTGATGAACCCAACATCCAGTACTTATTTGGAGACCTGCTGAAATCGATGTACACCATGATTCAGCTATTGACTCTGGACACTTGGGTTGATACGATCGCGCGCTATGCCATTGATCCAACATTTTCAGCAAATGGGAAAGCCTACTTTCCCTACTGTATTTTCTTCGTGCTTTTCATTGGCATTGGTGTTTTCGTCTTCTGGAATCTCATTACCGCGATCATCGTTGAGACTGCTTTTGCTATTTCCTCTGATGACTCCAATTCACAAGCGAGAGAATTGGAGATGGCCAAAAAGGCTGAGATTGAGAGTCTCACACAGAGCCTTGGTTGATGCATTTTAATGCATTTAAGTTGCTGGTCTACATCAGAGTCATAACACGCGCAAGGCAACGAGCTACGTCTCTTCAGTATACTGGATTCGTGAGCCGTGCCAAGAATTTGCCATATTTAGATATTGTAGATTATATAACTATAATTATAGTCATAATATATATGTATAATATATATATATAATATAATATATATATATAATATAATATAATATAATATAACATAACATAATATAATATAATATAATATAATATAATAAATATATATATATAATATAATATATATATATAAACATTATACAATATATTATTAGATATACAACTGAACAGATACTGGCAAGATGTCAAGAGTCCGAGGATTTTCCTGGAGATCGACAAGGATCACTCGGGGGAGCTCAGCTTCAGCGAGTTTGAGAATGCTCTGAACATTCCCAAAGTCAGGTGCTTTGTCTGCAGGATTTCACCTGGCTTCATCTGGGTTGATATCTTGTGATGCCCAAGATTGATCTTGATCTAATTTGATATAAGACGAAGACATGATGAATCTACAAGGTCAGAATTGTATAGAAAGGAATTTGCTTGGTACCACCTGGCTACCTTTCAGTACTACCTTCCAATGTAGTTGAGAAGCCTATAGACGCACCTACCAAGCAGCTGTGACGTGTCTGAGATGAATTCCATACCCTAAGATCTCCAAGCATCAGACTCAAAATATTCAAAGCAGTCCAACATTTTTTTTGTCCACCTGGATTTCATGCTTTGGGTAATTTTCCCATATTATTTTGTCTGGCCTTTTCCATCCCTATTGGCCCGAAAATGCCCGAAAGGACTTGAGACATCGAGAAAAGCCGAGACCCGAAACGAAGGCTTTCAAAGCCCCCCTTGATAAACTTCCGAATGCCCTGACGGATTCCACTACTGCAATACCCATCAATACCCGCAAATCATTTCAGATGGATCTTGTTGTTTTGACATGAGCTTCTGCAAATATTGCAGATACTCGGTGGTTCTGGTCAGAATTTTGCACGACTCTGTGACACTTCAAATATCTTGAAGGCAACTATTTTTTGTCCCGTTTCCAACTCTCTCCAACTGATTTAGCGTTCATCTGTGACCCTTGGGAACCTTGGGAACCTGTGAGGCAAATGCTTGACGTTTTGGGTATTCAAGCCAATGAGTTGGAGGAGGTTTGGTATGTCTTGGACGATGGCGACAATTGCCTCACGATCAAGGACAGCTATGTAATGTAGACAGCCCTGTAAACAAAATGTCGCACCTGGCAAATCATAGATTTCTGCTGCAAATACTGCTAATACAGATGGCTAATTTTTTTCTAGTGTCTCAAGCTTGTTTTCCAGTGTGGATAGTAGGCCTGAACCAAGAATTGTTTTCCCAGTATATAGTCATTCTCCCAATTTTTTGCCTCAGCTGAGTTTTTTTTGTTCAGAGATTGCTGACGGGAGAGTTAAGTCACATGTGCCGCATGACTTGCAGAATCCAAATTGTTCACCCAGGAGTTCACTACTGGCATACGACGAATGCGTGGCCAAGCAAAGGCGAAGGAGTGGCAGTCGAAGTCTAAATGTACAACATATGGGTTTGTCATGAAGGATAGGGTCCCCAGTAGTTTTACACTTTATCATCATGTTCAAAATCAATTGCTTTCAGATATATAAACACATATATTAAGTTTGGGGTCCTCCTGCAATGCTGCCCGCGACACACTGGAGCACTTGGGTTTGTAGTTCCATACTACTCAATAACTCACAGCACCTGAAGTATCGAAACGAGAATGCATGTTGCACTATCTGATGTGATATAGTCACAACACAACTCAAGAACAGCCCGATACGGGCATATGTATATATACACAGTACATACATACATTACATTACATTACGTTACATCACATTACATTACATTACGTTACATCACATTACATTACATTACGTTACATCACATTACATTACAGTACATTACAGTACAGTAAATTACATTAGATTACAGCAATACAATACATTACATTACATTATATTATCATTACACACATACACATACATCTTGCATCGTTGTTCTAGAACTCTAGAACTATGATGAACTTAACTTACTCATGCCCCATTCATGAAATTGTGCAGTTTGTGCTTGAACGTGTCAGCCTGAGCACAGCAATCCTCCTTTTTTGAAAGCCCACAACAAATCAAAACACTGGATCCTTATGGACAGCCTTTGCTAGAACAAGCAAAACATGCAATTGATCTAAAGATACGAAGCATTTTGAACCATTTTGCACCATTTGGATATGATACACCCATTCCATCTTAGTCCAGTCCGGGTCGACATTTCGTAGCCGGTCAAGGACCTGGCAGATACGGTCAAGAGATTGCGCCTGGCAACGAAGAGTGCCAAGGAGCTGCTTGCGAATGCAGATCAGTTCCATAGGCTGGCGAGATTAGTCATGGCATGTCATGGCAATGTCCAGATATAGATGGGATATAGTTTATTTTGATATAGTGGATATGAATGATATGATATATGAGATGTGATGGGATATAGTGGGGATATACTGATTGACAATGGGGATTTCCGTCAACCATTTTTTCAGGGACATCTTTCATGGGATATAATTGGGGATATGAGCAGCACCATGGGGATCTGCAGATTTTTGTAGGACGCTTCGCAGTACGGACGTATGTCTCAAGAATTGGGTATCCCCCACATCCGGTCGTTGATGCTGTTCTCCATCAACTGCCCAAATATTCGGGGTAAATCCTATGTTTTGGGATACCCTCTGGTAATTTAACATAGCTATTGAAAATGGCCATTTATAGTGAGTTTTCGCATTAAAAATGGTGATTTTCCATAGCTATGTTAGTTTACCAGAGGGTAATCCATGGTAATCCCATATTCGACACAGGAAGTTCTAGGCAAACACTGCATTTCAAGCCTGCTCTTTTTGTGAAGCATCAGGAGTTTGCCTGAGCAAGCATCAGTCACAGGAGAGACGTTGTAAACAATGACTGCTCATTCAAAGCCTCTAGATATGAAGCTGACCCACACTGACCACGATAGAAAACCATGTTGCCCATGCTGCCCACGTTGTCTTTCTGTTCACTGAAACCCTGACAGTTCCCTTCTACATCTTGAAGACGAGTGCGGTCGGATCTCTGACGATACTGGCCGCATGGTGGGTCTGTTCCACGAGATGTATCACAGGCGGACAGCGTGTGACCCTGTGTGGTTGTGAAATGCTGGTGCTAGGTCTTGACAAAACATGACATCGTACTGTACTAGCAAACCACCCCCTGAGAACATGGCTGCCATGACAGGCTCAATTCTCACCTGGAGATTTGCAACAAGCAAAATATTCAGAGAGAGGCTGCCAGAAAGAAGGCAAAACTCAAGGTGGGGGGTTGCTGAGCAACAGCAGGGAATCATCGAAGACTGTTTGGAGAGCGAATATACCAGTACTAGTATTCGGACAAATAGATGGAAACAGCCCGGTTGGCAGAAACTTCTGATTGTTCCAGCTTGTTTGATTCACGCAACATTGAACCAAATTGCAACGTATCCAAGCACACCGGACACATGATACTGGCAGGCTGCACAAGAAGAGGCTATGAGAGCAGAAGCGAATCAGCCGGAGGATGAAGATGAGTAGTGATGACCGACTTCAGATATCTTCTTTGATTTTGTATAACATATAGATAGCGGAGTCCTTTTTGTCGAAAAGGCTCACAGCACATAGAGCCTTTGAACATTGCTTCACCTTCATACTCCTGATGAAAGTAAATTGTACCCGCGGAGGACATGGATCATTTTTTTGGTCCTTTGTTTTGCAGAGATTGAAGGTGAATCAAGCGTTTCACCGGTCACATCCTCAAAGAGGACCGAGCCCTACCGGGCTCACGTGCCACGGAAAATGGAGGGACACAGTCTGACACTCCAAGTATTGCACATCATTGACAGATGAGACATCAGACAGTAGAGGATGCGCTACATATTGTGATGCAATTTCGACCATTCAATCGTTCTCCCCTAGAAAGTCACCTGCTACAGTATAGAACTATCACTCACAAGAAGAGGAGCCTTTTGTGGCAAAGGTACCCCAAATGATTTGAACAGATTCCCATATTATGATTTATTATTTATATGATATATTATGATATATTATGATATATTATGATATATTATGGGTGTCTGGAAAATCGGCCAACCCCCACCAAATGACAATTTTCAGAGGGAACATATGGGAAATCATTGGGAACATGTATGAAAATATGGGACGATTTTAACCTTTTAACACCTAAAACCACTGCTCCAGGTGGAAGCCAAGCAACTGGAGATGTTGCAGACCCTCAGCAGCTTCAACAAATCCTTAAAGTCCACCACCATAGTTCGCGCCCAAGAGATGAATAGAGATGGGGGATTGATTCCACCAGGCTGAAAAAGTGGGAAAGTGATGAGAATTCCCGTGGAATTTCTTGGACTTACATGTTTAGACCAACGTGTACGGTTGAAGTATCTTCATCGAGGTGTACTTCTGGGCTTCTGGGGGATCCAGAATACAGCCTTATGTCAGAAGCTGCACACACACACACACCCAGCGACACCACTGAGAATCCTACCCTCTGGTAATTTAACGTAGCTATTGAAAATGACCATTAATAGTGGATTTTCCCATTAAAAATGGTGGATCTTTCCATAGCTATGTTAAATTACCAGAGGGTAACTTTCACCAACGAAAATGCCATGAAATCAACATGGAGAACCGACACCACGAGACATCGTCCATGCAGCACCAGTGTCCAGGAGATCATAAGACGTCGACAAGCACGAAAGAAAGCAGCAGCAAGAGCTAAACGCTTCAGCTTTGCCAATATGGACGAGTGCCTTGACTGCTACTTGTTTCTTCACGCTTACTTTGGTTGTTGATGTCGAAGATAGGAAGATGATGGGCGCATAGGAGAAGAAAAAAACACTAGATATACTGTAATATGATATGATTTAATATAAACATATATGGTATGATATAACATGGTATAATATCAAATAAATTTACAATCTAATGCACTATAATTAATAATACAAGGTAATGCAATACACTGCAGTATAGTATAATACAATACACTATAAGATATTATATTACATTAAATGTATACATATATATATATGAGCAGATATAATATTATCAAACATATGTAACAGACACTTCAACAATGTCACATACAGTACACATAATATTATAATATGAAATAATACAACAAATCAAATAATACCATGTGATATCTAATATCTAATAATGTCAAAATATAATATGTACTATTATAAACTTACCATTAAACATGTAATATATATATATATGTATATATAGTGTAACATGATATTAGTCTATGCGGCACCAAGCTCCTTTGCCACCGTGGAGCTCCGCTCAGGGTGGTGCTGGTGGAAAAGCCGCTTAGCTTTTGCGGAGTGCTGGTGTCGTGGTCAAAAACATGGATTATTTTCCGACAAAAGGGGATAGTCATTCCTCCATAAACAGTTTCTGTTCTTTATACCCACTTCATGGCAAATATAGCATTACCTCATGGGAATGAAGAAGAATGGACCGCCACTCAACAAATACAAACATTTTTTTTTGAGATTTGGGACGACATCATCGAAAGTCTTCTCGTGGCTGATCGATAAGGACGTCGTACATGACAAATGCTGTAAAACATTTTACAGTTTTCCCCCAATTGATCAAACGCTCGAATCACGGACAGTTGCTGACCTAAGATTGGAGCAAGTCCGGTTTTGTGCCGCGTTGAATGGGATCATCCTGTCAGTGCTGCCAGGCATCCAGAAGAAAGAGAATCTGATGAAGAAGACGAGGAAAAAGCCAAAGCTGCGGAGGCGCCGCAACTGTGCTGCCGGTGTCATAGAGCCCGGCAAAATATAACCTGTATCTGTATATATATATTTTAATAACATATATATATATATAGATACACACTCTCTCTCTCTCTCATATATATATATATATCTTTTTCTATGTATTATAGATATTGTACACAGATACATACTAGATACGTGCATTATCTGTTTGAAATCACCAACATTTGTGTGGGACTTGAACGAAAGCAGCTGGATCTTTGCAAGTTGGCACCCGGCTTCCACAGTGGGTACACAGTTTCAAAACAGATGTGCGGCTGTGCCCAGAAGCTGCGCGGTTGCTGCAGGCCAAAAAAATCAAGGGCAATAAAGCGGGCGAAATTTTGGAGCATATCTCCGGATTGCAAAAAAGCCGAATCCTCATTGATCTGTGGGATCTTGCTATGCCATGTGGATAAGTTGAAGACATTGAGTGAAAACGGAAGACAGTGAACACGTTCACTAGTTGGAGTTTCACGTGAAGCCTTGATTGTTGATTTCATTTCAACAACCAAAGGTTTGAGGGAAAACCACGCAGAGGAAACCCTATTTTTGGCTGGGAAAATCAGGGTCTCCTGTACATTTTCCCATCAATCAACCAGCATTTCCAAAAAATCTCACGCAAAGGCATAAACGAGCTGGTTCACGACACTCATCAAAGCAAGCTTGCCCTGGAAGTCCACAATGAGGCAGGACTTTTCCGAATTGAACATGAAACAAGGTATCAACACATCACAATCCATTGTGGTCCCTAACTATACAAAAAGCACATCACCATCAAAATCCATTAAAACAACTGGATTCAGTTTTTTTTTCTATTTGTTTGAGATAAATACATTGACCCCGCACATCTGTACATGTTCCATTTATGGTAGGACCCCAAAAAAATGAACAGGAATGGACACCAGCACCACTGTTTCAGTAGAACTTAGAACTTAACATAGTTAAACAATGTTAAACATAATTAAACCCCACATAGTTAGCATCCTTTTTTGGCGTTTCCGAACATATCGCTAGCACTTGGGACAGCTGCCTGGCTGTAGCCAAGGCCTTACTCCACTTGACGCTTGCAATGGAGGCTGGGTCCCGGTGGATGGTTGGAACGATCCTTGAATTCTAAGGATCATCATCCAATAGTCAATAGTCATCCAATAGGCATCTGATTGGTGGTTTGGAACATGTTTTATGACTTTCCATATATTGGGAATAATCATCCCAACTGACGAGCATATTTTTCAGAGGGGTTGAAACCACCAACCAGTCATCCAATCATCATCCCTGCAAAACGGGCCGCGTTTGAACAGGCAGCTGAAGGTGGTGGCGATCCCCCTGAGGCAAAAGAGGCCGCGTTCAACGTTGGTGGATGATTAGTTGGAGGATTATACCACGGACATCTACCGTAATCTACCCAAAATATTGCGCAAATACATCATACGTACATACATACGTACGTACGTACATACATACATACATTCATACATTCACACATTCATACATTCATACATTCATTGCATTCATTACATTCATTACATCCATTACATCCATTAAATTCATTACATTCATTACATTCATTACATTCATTACATTCATTACATTCATTACATTCATTACATTCATTACATCCATTACATTCATTACATTCATTACATTCATTACATTCATTACATTCATTACATTCATTACATTCATTACATTCATTACATTCATTACATTCATTACATTCATTATATTCATTACATTCATTACATTCATTACATTCATTACATTCATTACATTCATTACATTCATTACATTCATTACATTCATTACATTCATTACATTCATTACACTCATTACATTCATTACATTCATTACATTCATTACATTCATTACATTCATTACATTCATTATATTCATTACATTCATTACATTCATTACATTCATTACATTCATTACATTCATTACATTCATTACATTCATTACATTCATTACATTCATTACATTCATTACATTCATTACATTCATTACATTCATTACATTCATTACATTCATTACATTCATTACATTCATTACATTCATTACATCCATTACATTCATTACATTCATTACATTCATTACATTCATTACATTCATTACATTCATTACATTCATTACATTCATTACATTCATTACATTCATTACATTCATTACATTCATTACATTCATTACATGCATTACATTCATTACATGCATTACATCCATTACATTCATTGCATTCATTACATTCATTACATTCATTACATTCATTACATTCATTGCATTCATTCCATTCATTGCATTCATTCCATTCATTGCATTCATTACATTCATTACATTCATTACATTCATTACATATCATTACATTCATTACATTCATTACATTCATTACATTCATTACATTCATTACATTCATTACATTCATTACATACATACATGCATACATACATGCATTCATACATGCATTCATACATGCATTCATACATGCATTCATCCATTCATACATGCATTCATACATGCATTCATACATGCATATATCCATTCATCCATTCATCCATTCATCCATTCATCCATTCATCCATGCATGCATGCATGCATGCATGCATGCATACCTGCATACCTGCATACCTGCATACCTACATACCTACATACCTACATACCTACATACCTACCTACCTACCTACATACATACATACATACCTACATACATACATACATACATACACACACACACACGCACACGCATATGTATATATATATATATATATATCTATGTATATTAATTGATTGATTGATTGATTGATTGGTTGGTTGGTTGGTTTGTTGATTGATTGATTGATTGATTGATTGATGATACACTGGGGACGATCATAAT